GGATGCTCATTATTGCTTATTACTCAGTACATATACTCCGAATGTGGGTAAAGCTCTTAATACAAAGGGAATGCAGCAAATATTAATGAAGGAAGTTGTTGTTGTTGTCTTATTCATCATACAGTTTTCACTTGTGGATATTTATGTGATTTCTCATCTTTTCACATTTTTAACGATCTCGCGAATTTATATTTATTTTTTTTTTTGGTATTAATTTCCTTGATCGCTATCACTGTCCATTCTTTCACATTTGATTCCCACATTATTATTATTTTCCTTCCGCGTCACATTTTGACCTACCTTGCTAATTTAATTAACTTTATTGTCACTTTTATTTGTAAGATTTTTTTAACGTTCCATGAAGTAGCTTAAATAGATTTTTCGTACAATTCTTGTAGACACCTGCACGCGACACTTGATTAAATTTATCCAAAAAGAGTCTCTTCTCATCCAAATAAATATTGGAATCAAATTTTTGGTTCTTCAAGGTCTTCCACAAAAAAAAATATATGTTCGTACTGATAAATATGAAAATAATTGCACAGCACGCGTATAGACTTCTGCGTTGTTCAAAACTTAAAACTTTTTTGCCGTAGCATGTAGGCACACTCGATAGGTATTTCTTCTCTTTCTCTTTTCGCTTTTTCTTTCTTCGTGGTCGTTTTCAAGTCAAGTGAAGGAGGATAAGAAAGAAATGTAAAGAAATTTAATAAAAGCTAGTAATGTAGTTTGGCTGAGTATGTGGATCAAAGACGCATTTTAAGAAATAATTGGAAAAAATACAGGACGGAAGTTAAAGGATCACAAAGTGATGGCAAAACGTAATTTAATTTTGTTACGTTTCATGTCAATTTTTTCTAATTTCCTTACAAAATTTGTTGCAGCCAGGAGGTGGGGGATGGGGAGGGTTCAAACTTTAACAATTTTAAAAAAAAATTGATTTAATGATTGTAGCCAGAGAAGGGGTTATTGTGTCAAAAGTACCCCCTTTTCAAGGAGAATATCTCTCGAACCCCCCTCCCCCCTCCCTACTTGTTGATGTCATTTTGACCTGCTTATTCACCATTTCATAAGAATGGTCACGTCTGGACATCGCTAAACGATCCATATTAGAATAACCAGTCAAGTAATTCCTATATCCAGTAAAGCAGACAGAAAGTGGTCATAACTAACCTTAAGCTTTAATAAAGCTGCACAAAAAAGAGTTTTATTTTTTTATTTTCATTTGAAACTAACACACTAACCTTGAAAAATGGAAAGAAGAAAGAGTTAAAGAGAGCGTAAGAGTTGAGCAGACTTTCATGCATGTATACATATCTACAAAAGCGCGCACGAATATACATACCGGCATTTTGAGTACAAAGCTTACAGTGTTTAATGCTGTGTGGAGAGAATGAGAGACTTAGTGAATGACTTTATTGTCACATAATTTTCATATACACAAATTAGATGAAGATTATGTTGATGGAAGGTTAATGGTATAGTGCTAATTGAGTTGTTAAAATCTTTTTCATTAAAAAATCATCAGATTGAGAATTGTTGGTCAATGACTGGTTATTGTAGCATTACTAATGATTTTATTATCCTCAATTCAATCTGTTATTCACAAAAAAATTCAATTCTCGTCAATAATGCCCCAATAATTTCTCATACATAGAATGGATGAATCTCAGCTGAGTTTGGGATATCCGAATGATATTTTCACGGAACAGTGGATTTGATTATTGAATTCCTTAAAGCAGGAGACAATAAAAGCTTATATTGCTATTTATAAAGTCCTTTTTTTATAACCTAGATTCTACATTTGAAAGCCTTTTAGGAGGCACGTTTGACAAGCTTCAATTCATTGTATCTTCAACATGCTACATTTACCACACGAAATGTGACTTAAATGATGAATGCAAAACATCCATTTGTCTTGTGGACATTTATTCAATTTTGTTAATGCTTAAACATGCTCCAATAATCAGGAATTTTTAAAGTAAGCCTGAGGCAAGCTTGTAGCAAGGATTATATCAAATAGACTGGCTTACATCAAGTTTTTTATAATTGTGGCTATTAGCGATGAAGCTTGGTTGAAACATGGGTTGACATTATTATAATACTAAGGCCGGTTTTTTGAGCTACTCGAGGTAACCAATACTTGATTACTGCATACACATAAACAAAACATAAAACTCTCTAAGCTTACCTTAAGTAGCCCTAAAATCCAATCTTTTTGCCCCCAAATTCGACTTCCACATAGAACCTAGTCATTCTTTTACTTACTGGGTCCTACGTTAGAGAATGGGGAGTCTAAAATAGTCCCTTGATAAAACGATATTTGAAAAAATTGAGGACATGGTTAATTCTAATAAATTCTAAAATTCAGCAGAAATAGATTTTTTATGAAACAATAAGCCATACAATTTATGTTATCATCCGCATTCCAATCTACTCTGTAAAATAATTCCGGATCAACACTTCATATCTTACAGAAATTACTCCTAAATTAAATCGTAATTGGTTTCTGTATAATCCAATAACTCAAAGCTCTTCATTCAACGAAAACATATCAAAATATTTTTGTGATCCTTTTGTTGCCACGAAGAAAGATTTGAAAATTGTTCTTAAATGGAAGTAAAATATTTTGATTCTCAAGATTGTTTTTTTAAGACTGTTTCCTCCTTCTGAATAATATTCTCATAAATCTCAGCTGAAAAATTTACACCAAGAAAAAAATAGAAAAAACAAAGCATGAACTTTTCGCCAAATTTTGTCTGCCACACGAGCTGAAACGTGATTGAAAATTCTAAATCCATTGAATTCGGTTTTGTATCAGATATCAAAGCAATCGTGCTGAATTGACAATGAGAACGCACAAACTTTCCTCTTCACAGCTTTCATCTGAAATACCAGAAATGTGTATTTACTTATTTATAGACGTACAAACACGTTGCTCATCGCTTTCAATTTCAATGTACTTCCTGGAATAAATATGAAGATTCAATTTTATAGGCATGGTTCATAAATGATGTCAATCGATTATTGAAGAAGTTTTCACGAGTGTAAGGTAAGGGGTCGTTCACTTATGACGTCCGAAATTAACGGTCATTTTTCAAAAAACAATAAATTTCCTGGAATTTCTATTGTTCTTTTCTTGCTGACCCCCCCCCCCTGGACGTCATAAGTGAACGGCCCCTAAAGAACTACAACTTTTATTGTAATATGTCTATTGTAATATGCAACCCACCCAGTAACACCATAGACATCATTTATGAACAAACCCTGCTACGTAAATAAAAAATAAAAGTTGCAACTTGGCATTAAGAGTGAAAAGAACACTAAGACCATGTAGCCCAAAAATCTACATTTCTTCAATTTATTATTGAAATCCGCTTTTCGAAATATTTTTTTTAAAAAATAAATTCCATTGAATTACAATAAAAATGTTTTTTGTGTTGATTATTTTCAAATAGATTCACTATGCATGATTAATTCTCTTTCAATCGTAATCACATCTATAAAAATTTTATTTTATACAGTCTAGATTAAATAACATTTTGCTTGCGTTCGAATTTTTATTATTTTGTCTACATTATTGTTCACAAATTTATATTCAATTTTTTCTTCTCGTAATAGATTCTCTGTAAAGCTAATGAAATGTAAACATAATAAATGACACACAAAAAAATGAATTGGAATTTATGATGGGAATATTCGATGTACTTTAGACATATTAATCTATTGTGAAATTTATTCAGTAGAAAAATAAATATTCTGTACAATTTTGTTTAAATAAAAATTCAATTCCATTCCATTAAATGCAAAAAGGATGAAGATTAATGGAAATAGAATTTGCTGAAAATATAATCACATGCATATGTAATTTTATGTTTCTATTGTAGCATTAAAAATTAATGAATAGAGCATATGAAGAGATGTCTCAGTTCTGATTGATTTTCCTTTTAATTTGACAAGCAAAGGATGGATGTAGGAAATTATAATGAATATGTAGGATTATAATAATATTCTTATGAATATTTACTAGCTTCGGAGATAAATTTGAGCATTTCAAGCTGATTTATTTTTGGTTTAAAATTTTAAAGCTTGTCAACTTGAGAAAGATTGTTCTGATTTTTTTAACAAAGAGAAATTGAAATATATAGGGAAAATTGATTTTTCTACAGAAAATCTTATCCAAATTTGTCAGGCTCAAAATCAAATTTTTGGATTCATTTTCAGAAAAATCAGAAAAATTTAAGAAAAGTTCAAATCCATCCTTTACTTTGAACATTACTTTACTTGTATTAGATGCTGATGATAGATAATTTGATCATTTAAGCACATACAGATGATCTCAAAAAGATTTTCAAAGACTTTTTTTGACAATTTTGAAAATAAAATGAATTGAAACAGTCAATAAGATTGAGTTATTTTTAAAAAAACAATTATCACAGCTTCTTAATCTTCCAATTTCAACAAATTATTTTATTTATATAATTTCATATATCTATGATTCATAATTATATTTATATGTTCATTTAATTTTGTTATAATAATAAATCCCAAAACAATAGTCGTCACAAAAACGGTTCTTCAAGTCCCACACAATTAAGATTGCAAATTTTTTGTTTATTATTAAAAAAAGAAGATTGAAGATATGAAGATTTTGAATCTCCGTTGGCATTTTAAATTCCCTAAATGTTGCAAATAACGGAAATTCTAATGAAATCTCAAATGAATCAAGTCTAAGAAGAATTAAAAATATGTTCATAGAATTATTTTGAATTAAAGACTTCAAATGCTTTAAGATGCAATGGGAATAAATTTATATCGTATACTTTTACATAGCTCGCTGATCATTGCTCAGAATTGACTATCAAAAGAAATGCTTAATTCTTTCTTGCTCGATAAGGTTTTTGTTTTAAAAATGGTTCTTCTTTAATGAATAAAGATTAAAGACAATGAAACAACATTTTCTTTAATTGCATTTCAACCAAACAGAATGTCAACAACTATTTTCCTTCTGCTAGCATCAAACGAATGGTTTCTCGAATTAATACAGGATGGGAATAATTTCAAATGACAAATTTCATTTTTTTTTTGTTTTTAAAAATTCACTAATCAATATGTTTTCAGAATCTTAGAATCTTGAGAACATCAACATGTGGTAAAGGAAATTTATGTAATCAATATCGAATAAGCATCAATTTACTTTCGGTTTTAAATATCACTTATAATCATGTTTTGTTCAATATTGTATTACAAAGATTCATTCCTTTGAGATATATAATTTTGTTATGCTTTTACTTCATAGCATTTATAAAAGCTTGGATGATAAAAACAAGAATTAGGTCAAAAAGAAAGCAAAATAATTCAATTTTTTGTCGGATCCATGAATTTTTTAAGGCTCCATTCGCATTTTTTATCACTAGATTATGGTTTCAATTTGCCTCATAAATTCTCAGAAAATCTTATGCTTCAAACTTGAAAATTTTGTTGTCATGAAAATTTAATAAAATTGTTTAAAATTAGAACTTTTTTAAAAGTCTCAAAGTTCATATTTTTGAAGTCGAAATTTAATCTACAATCTTTAAAAGTAGATAAAACAGGATATTAATGTTGATGACCATAATCAAATTTCAACTAATTTAATTCAGACTTCAATATCTCCTAACATTGTTGTATTGCTAGAAATCTGTGGAATCTTTGATATCATGCCATATGTTGCTGAAACTGCCAGTGCGGGAATAAGACCTCTGTGGCCGAATGGCTAGGCAACAAAGCAGTCAACTGTAGGATTTTCTTCAATGATTAAGTAGGTTCAAATCCCATCAGAGACTGATCTTTCTCAAATATTTCAAAGTAAACTATCTTTGTCAATTGAGAAAACTACAAAGTTACTTTAACCTCATATAAATCACAGGACAAAAATATGCTTAAAGCTACAAAAATAACTCAAATTAGATCTGAACCCATTTCTGTTATTATTTAATAATTCCATTTTCTTTGTAAAAGAACACAAAATGAAATTTCCTTTTTCTTCTTCTTTAAACGTCACATCTCTTCATTGTTCTGTACTACAAACGCATTTAAAATGCTTCATTCTTAACCGCTAATGAAAGTTAAAAATAATTCAATTCAATTTTTCCATTTTTTAATTTCATTCTGTCACAAAAGAAACATTCATGCACAAACTTTTACGTTTCATGATCAAGGAACATTTTCTTCCTTTTACTAGGCGTACTCGCTTTAATTATTAGGCTTGCTTGGAGGAAATTTTTTTATCACGTACAAAATTAAACTTTTTCTTTTACCTTTTTACAACAAAATTATAGTTTTTCAATCAAATGGGGATTTAATATTTGAAATTTGATGCTTGTAGTAATAATTTTGGGATTATTAGATTTATAATAATTTAATTCAAGAGTAAATCTGGATTTTATAGGATTTCACTAATCCCTTCTTAGAAAAAGGTTTTTAATTTATAATCCACTTAATTTAAATCTCGACTTTTTTTTAAATAACAATTTTCGTACCAAAAATACTCAACTAAGACTCAGTCATCAATTATTAAGCTACAAAATTCGATTAGTCAAGCAATAAAAATTCAAATCTCCAATCCCCTTTCAAATGTTCATTTTTACCTAGAAACTTTTATAGACTATTCATTATAATTTTTAACATGGTGTCTTCCGTATATTCACAAAATCTACTTTCTATCCTTTGTAAGACTTTTATTTTCAAAACTTCATTTTAAGTGTCATTAATTAACAACTTTACTCTTTGTGTGTCACCCATTTAGTTCATTTGAAAAATTATCTGCTAGGCGTGTCATCAAATAAGCTTACTACAGAACTGTGTGCCTCTCTCAGTCCGTGTTCGATGAATTTCAAATGTTTGTTGTCCTGTGGAAAAGGAAATAAATTTAAAAAAAGAAATTAGGTAAGTTTTGCTATAAATTTTACACATTGGATTATAAAAAAGCTTTAACTCGCATGTTCTGTAGCAGTGGTGGACAACCTATTTTGTGCCACGGTGCATATTGGTCATAAGTTATGAACAAAATTACAAATGACACACGATTCGTGGAATTGTCGATATTTTTTAAAGTACACTGGTTTGTCATGGCACATGGGTTGTCCACAACTGTAATAGATCCTAATGTTGGTGTAAACGACAAAGAGAAAACCACAAAACTTTTTCCCAACAAAATTAATTTCCTATTTTTTTATGTGGTTTTTTAATTAAATGATAATTCAACATGAAATGTTGCCATATAAAATATCTGCCTACAAGAAGCTGTATATAGGATTACGACGAAGTTTATTTCTTTTCATAATTTGATTTTTAATTTCATTTGGGACAATATTAAAATTACATCAAAAGAGTTTTTTTGTTGAGAACGTTTGATCAAGAATTTAAAACTTTCTACTTTAAAGATACAAAATAATTGAAGATTATTTCTGACTAAGTTGTTGTAAAAAGCCTGAATTAACAGTTTGTGGAAAATACGATTTTTCTACATCCATCCTCCCCATGCTATTGCTTCTGTCACAAATTAAACAATAAATAGCGTGAATCAACCCGAAAAAGCATATGAGGATTGAGAATCAGTCAAAAAGCTACAAAAAACTACGAAATATTGCGTCCTGCAAAAATCCAAATGAAAGGAAATCATGACTATTGATTAAATAATTAATCTAAACACTTAATCAACATGCCATATTTTCCTCATCCGGGAAGTGAACAACATGACTACAGAAAGAAAACTTTGTTCAAGTTGTCAGAAATGTCAAATTTATTTCAATTATTATTAATAATTTTCTCTACTTTTGCTTTACAACAGCTTTATTATTGTTGACTACACAATGAATTTAACTTAATGACAATGTGAAGGTTTATGAATTATATTGCCTAGGGTAAAATCGTGTCCTACACAATCTCTTATTGCTTTAAAAATTGTTTAAACATATTTTAAGAAGAAAATCTTTTGATGTTCAGCCATATGTGTGCTTTTGTGTACATTCTTCTTTTAAATTCATAAAACAACTCAAAATAATATTTTTAGGAGTCTTTTGAAAATGATGTCCATGAGTAAGTAGATTTTTAAAAAATAAGATCACAAACTTTGAAAATTTTGAAACTATAAAAAAGGAGTGTCATTTGGGAATGTGTAGAATTTGTCAGTATCTAATTTTGTCTTGTTCAAATGCTGTCATTAAAAGCAAGATTTTTTGAAGCCAAAGTCTTAAGCAGACCTAATGACAAGTGTATACCTTCAAGCAATCTCGTCTGGCGGGGAACAGTTCATATTCATAATCAGACTCTATAATCGACTATTTCCAGATCATCTTGCACAATAAGAGCAATCGAAACTGAATATTAGTGACCACTGCGCCATAAATCACAGCCATTCAGAACCCAATCCCAACAAGAACACTTGTAATGTCCTTTATTAAATTACTAGACGCAGTGACAACCAATGACAATTTTTTACTCAGGAATTATCTTCTTGCTCAAAGAACTTCACAACTATAAAGTTCGAATCACTCCCTTCACCGCCTTCATTTCATCATTCCAAAAATTAGACATCCAAGCTGAAGAACCCATTGCTATAAACAGTTTTTTGTAAATTTAATATTATTTTAATGCGACCTCTTTAAAACAATATCCAGGTGGCACTCAAGAAAGGAACAAACAAAAGGTATTCCATAAATGAAATTAGGCATTTAAGGATCCTTTTCAGTTCCATAAAAAAAAGAATTTCTACTTAAAATATGGAGAAAAACTTTCTAGAAATAAAAAAATGTTATTCATGGAATAAATTAAAAAAAAAAGATTACAGGTCTCTTCCGTCTTTTTTTCCATCTCCCAACTTCTCATAAAAAGCTTATAAATCAAACATACACAACATTCCATTAAAAGCTTTTCTATCCAAATTGTTCTCTTTCTCGTTTTTTTTTATGTCTCGTAAACAATAATAAAAGTAGGAAAAACAAATGAATCCATACATTTTTAGATGCTTCACTTACAAGGTAAACTCCTGCACATCATCATTGTTATTTTGCTTCAGTAATTCCGATTTTATTTTACTGCCATTCTGCTCATGCATGAATGTCCTCTTCTTTACGACAATACTCGATTCAACTCCTTTTAATTTATGTGATGCGGATGATGAGTCACCGTTGCCTTTTCGACAGCACAAAATTTCATTAAATTCTTTCTTAAAATTTGAATTGAGCCAGCCATACAGCAGTGGGTTCGAACATGCTATTTTAGGAAACGAGATAGACGCAAATTAATCAAAATAATGTACAACTATGGAGAGATTCTTTCCCTACCTGATGACATTCCGACCATATGGCAGGCAGCATAAATAATGTATACAGTTTGTGTTATTTTCATTTCGTTCATACTAGCATAAAGGTCCATGTAAAGGTTGTAAAAATTTAAGGGCAGCCATGAAATGCCGAAAATTAAAGCAATTGAAATTAGTAGGCAATTTGTGCGTTTCGTTCGTCGTCCTCGTCTCTGCTGTATCCTATCGTCAACAGATGTAATATTTTGTGCGACTATTATTCGTTTCTTTAATCGAAAATATATTCGTAGATATGCAGATGATACGACCAAAATTGGAATGAAATATTGAATAGTTAAAGAGAATAAACTATAATACACTCGTCCAGCTAGGAACGGCATGTCAGGCCAATCTTCTACACAATAATGTATAGTATGTAAATTAATTATCGGGAGATTTACAGGATATTCAATTAAGCTTGTATAAATATACAGAGGCAATGCACAAAGTAGTGCTATGAGCCAAATTATTGAAAGGACGATTACAGCTCCGAGCATTTGTAAATTATTTGCAGGACATCCGACAATGACCTAATTAGAAATAGAAATGTAGAAAATTTCATTAGTGATGTCAGAAGTAGTAGTCGTAAAGTTAGATTGACTTTAATGCTTCAATACTGGATACTGGATTCAAGAAATCAATCTAAGTACACACACGTCAATAAAATAAAGTTTTTAATCAACTTATACAAGAACTTACGTGATATCGATCTAATGCTATTGCAGTAATTGAAATTGTTGACACCTGATGGAAATAAAATAATTAAATCACTTAATTGACATTTGTTGATAAACCACAACTTACAAATATACTAGTTCCTTGCAGTGTTCCAATACTTTTACATAATAATGCACTGTTGCCTGTTAATTGAAAAATGTTAGTAAGATATTTAATTAACAATCCACAGATGTAATAATACCTAAGGGCCAATATTTTGAAAGAACTTGTATCAATGTTAAAGGCATCGTCACCAGACATAACAGGAGATCTGTAAAGATTTTTAGAAATTTTGTTAAAGCTATGATTCTGATTTTATCGTTAGAAGGTCCATCAAAGATTTTCTAGTGTCAAAAGTGATTGAAATAACGTTTATGCGCACCAAAAATGTCTGAGACCTCTTTTTCCACTCCTTAAGAGGCTATGTATAATAAGAGCAACATCAGTAAACTTCCCAATCAAATATGCTCATGGGTGTCTCAAAAACAAAATTCCAAGAAGTATTGTTTGGCAATTTATTTTGTTGGCTTCATCTTATTTTAGAATTTTAACCCAAATTTCTCAGAATTTTTGAATATTCTTGAAAATAAAAGCTTGAGTTGTCATGCTCAACAAAATCTGAAAATAATTCTTGTTCTGAAAAAGCTGATTGAGATTGTGTTTAACAAATCAAAATTCAATTGTGGAACTTAAAAATATGATACTTTAAAGTATTGTTGTTTATGATATTTCATCTAAACATGTTAAGCTTTTATTGCTGCTGATGACTTTTAAATGTATTTCAACTAAGTTTAATACCCTTGTTAAAATAATGTAGAATCTCTTTAAATATTTTTGACGCACCCTCAACCAGAAATTGACGTTGTGGAAGTGGTAGAAGTTCTATATGAAAGCTTTCAAGAAGTGTATTTTAAAGAATTGTGGCTAATTGCTGAAAGAGCCGTGTTCTTAACGTTTTCGAATGTATGCTTGAATCGAATTAATTTCCTGACTGTGAATCGATTCAAGTACACCCAAAGCTTACATAATAAATGTCTTGTGCCAATTGAAAACAGACTTGATAATGATTGAGTACCAAGTGGATAAGTGGATCATCATATTTCAAAGGATGAACAATTTCATATAAATGCTACAAGTCATCCTTGAAAATAGACATTAATTTGGCAAACTTTGCAGTGTATAAATTTGATGATTGTTCATTATGCTTACCTGATATGGCTAGATTCACAATAAAGATATTTCTGTGAAAGGAAACAAAGAGAAAAATAAATAAATTACTTTAATTTCCGATTGCGTAAAATTTTTTTAAGGAAATTGTTGGTGACCCTTTTTTCCGCACTCGCATTCTTTATTTTCTGTCAAGTTGTAATCTATTTGTAATTAAGGACAGAGAAATAATTCTCGTCTCAACCATTCTTACCTCTATTAAATTTGAACTAATTATTTTCATCTTATTGTTACAAAATGTTTTTTTAATGGATGCGAAAGCATTTTTGTATATTGTTAAATGTCCTGAGTATTTTTTTAAGCTAGCATGTTTAATGAAAAGGATCAGTTTTCTGTCCTCAAAAGACATTCTTTAAATAGCAGAACGAAAGAAAAATTAGCACCATAAATTTGAATGCTTTTTGTACCCTTTTAAAGGCTCAGAAATGTTTAGTAACCTAGGAGATTATTAAGGATATAAAAACGAGTTTTCACACAGATTCCTATTGTGATGAGCATAATAAAGAAATTTTCAAGCACGTGAATTTTGAAATAAGCACATCATTAAAATGTGAGCGTATAATCAGTGCGTGTAGTGGAATTAAAACGCATTTTCAGAAATAAAAAATTGAAATTTATCCTTTACGTCTCAATAATATCGTTGCTGTATAACTGAAGACTTGCGTCATTCGATCAGCCACTTGAGATAGGATTTTCAAGAGATATGACAAATTTAAACAGCGGTTCTAAAATGAATAGAAAAGATTTATTTATCTTTTTGTCGAGACGATTCGGATGTTCTTGACATTTTTGTAGGCAAACATATTTTAAAGCTAGTCGATTTATTTAAAGATTTTTTTTTAAATAAAAGCTGATGAAACTAAGTTTCAAAACTCTATTTACCTAATTGCAATGTTCAGTCATTTTTCTAATCCAAAGAAAGGTGAAATATTAAGAATTAGTCTACCCTCAGTCTGATTCATGCTTTAATTCTTAGGCTTAGGTTTAAATACTGTAACTTGCCAAATTCCCATTCGTTAAGTTATAATGGGATGTGAATGAGACACGGATCATATTTGATCAAAATTTATGAATGTTTCTTGCAGTCGAACAAAGTGCCTTTTTTCATAGCTGCTTCAAGCTACAGAAATCAAAATTTACGTCAAAGTATTTGTTGACGTGAGCAATTAGGGGTTGAAAGAAAATGTTCACACATCTGCTTCTACTTCATCAATTTTTAAATTATGAGTGGAATTAAGATTTACAAGAGAAAACAGTTGACATCGTTAATTTATTTTTTCCCCGTATCGTAGAAAAATAACAATTCAGGGAAAATAATTTTAGGCTCGAGTCGCTGATTCTTAAAAATAAAATTAAAATAATGAGGCAAGTGTGATGTTTTGGTGACATTTTCTTGGATCAGTGTATTTATTTTTGAACATTATGTTGCAACATTGTTTGTCAAACTTTTTGGTTCGAGGCAAATATTTCTAATTTCAATTTTTTTTTTCGCGACACATCTGGAATTATTTCACGACACATAGTTTGAGAACCGATGAGCTAAAATTACGAGTGTAATCAATATCTGAAGTCCCTTTTTTCTTCTCTCCTTGGTTACAGTAATAAGCTTTATTTAATAGGAATATTATGCATATATTAAAGTCGCTTTATAAATTAATTTTAATCAATATTATATCAAAAAGAATTTGATCCCACGAGCATTTATAATGAAAAACACTTGAAGATCATTATTCCCAATTGTTTTTCGTACATTATTCTATACTTTCAATCCCACATGCAATTGTTTCGAATTCTCAAGTTGATTTTTAAATTTCTAACAAGAACTTCCTTTCCTGTGGATATAAGAAAATGAAATTTATCAATTTGCGACATGCTTTGGAATTTTTGAGCTGCTCAGCACCTACACTTTACCTTCTTTGAGCAACAGAAAAGTATTTTCTTTGTTTTTAGATGAATAAAAAGTTTTTGATATTTTTTGAACGAGGGAGTTTTCATTGAATTAGAATAAAATTCAAAATCAACTCTTTTAATTTTCTTGAGGAAACATGTTTTTAGAAAATGTAGAAAAAAATATTTTTTTTTGTTGCTCTTATGTCTATATAAAGAATTAGGAAATCAACTTTAATTTTGATAAAAATATATTTTTCTTTTTTAAGAATTCATGAAAAATTCATTGCTCAAAATCAACTAATAAGAAATGTGAATGAACGAAATATTATGCTGGAAACAATTGTAAAAGGTTCTTCTGAATGTTTACATTTCGACTCAATGAATCGACAAACATGAATTCGATGCAACGCAATTTCAAAAATAATGGTTTGCTTCTTTAAATAACAATCCAATGAAACCCTTTTTTATGTAACAGAAAAACGAGAAATTCCAATGTCAGAAAATCGTCACAGCATATTCTAGACATTTATTTCATAGTATCAATATCCAAAGTTTTTAAAGTCCAATTTCTTATATCTTGACAGACGGAAAAGTTTTTATGACATTGAACGGAAATAAGGGCAATCCAAATTGGAATTATAAAGTTCTTTAAAGATATCAACAGAAAGCTGTTCAATTTAAAGCTACTAAAGGATTATAATTTAAACTTACCTAGCTGTTTGCATTGTTTTATTCCTAAGTACAGCTAATACGACTAAAATATTTCCCGTGGACCCGAATATAATGAGAAAACTATACATAGTGATGAGAATACTGTAAAATGGCTCATCAATGTTGCGGTTAAGTGAAAATTGTTGTAACAATTCATGTCGTTCGGTATCATTGCCGAATCCTTGTGATGGGCTGTGCGTATGGTTTTGATTAAGAACAGGCTCCATTTATCATAATTTATATTCACTGCTTTTTTTTATTTATTTTATGGTTGGCACTTATAAGCACATAAACATCAAAGAACTGTCAGTTTCATTTCTTAATTAGCTTAATATAAATCCACATAATTCCATTATTTCCAAAAAATTCACTCTTGATTAAAATTAATTTCCTTCGTCAGTTTCTTTTCTCAATACTTCACTCGTGAATTTATTACTTATTCTCTCAGCTGAAGCCGCCTCAATATAAATCATTAAATAATTCACGTTCATTCCATTATTCACAAGTATTAATCACAGACATGAGACTTTCTGTTTATATAAAAAAATGAGTACTTTAATTGATTGTGTGAAATATGATACAGAGTGATCAATGCTGTACACACAACATTTAAAACTCTTTCATCAGCTCGTAAACTTTCTTGTCCGAAAAATCTATTTTCTTTAAATCTTATTTCCTCAATGAAATTTAAGAGAAAATATTCCTAAAGGTTTTTTTTAGAATTTTTTCATTCAGGTTGCCGGTCCGCAATTTATTTTTGCATGATGGAAATATTCATCAATATAAATTATCGCTAAATTTTTAATTAAAATTTTTTTTTGGGTATTTGATGAACTTTTTGGTCCCAAATATTTAATACTGGTGGTACGATGCAAATTAAATTTGAATTAATTGCTCGAAAGAAGTTATGAATGGTTTGAATTTGATAAATACAAGATTAATTTCTGAGAAAGGTATAGATCTGGACAGAGAAGTAGCTAGGAGAGATTTCGGTGTCAAAACTAACTCGACTATAATTTCATTTTAATTTTTCAATTTTTTTTTCCAAAAAATCTAAAGAAACCCCCGTACCCCTTCCGTAGAATTTAAAATCGATCAAACTAATTAATTTTAACTGCCATTAGGACAATAGAGGTAACCTCAGAAATTGACCCTTGAGCTTATAACCATTTTAACAACCCCATACCAGCCCATACCTAGTTAACTTTGTAGCAGGAAGCAGATTTTGAAACTTCTTTTATTATTAAACGTGATTTGTGAATGACACCCTTTATTTTGGTCCACCAAAAATGATTAGACTTTCTCGCAAGATTGTAATTACAGATGAAAATTAATAAGCACTGTACACACGCTTTTGCTTTGCGTTAAATAATTTTGTAGCAAATTTATTTTCATATTAATTGAATTTCGGAGAGCATGTAATTCAATCCGAAGATTTATGGGCACTTTCCTGTTGTCATCTTATTCTTATTTTGATTCTTCTTGATCTTCATCAAAAAACATCTTCTTCTGTAATTGAATTGTGCTTGGTAGGAAGTATCCGAAAGGAAATTTAATTATTCAGGTAAAATCGGTAAAATATTTAAATTGAGTAGTTAGATCACATATTTGTCGGGGACGTCTACGTCTTAAGTTACGGAAAAAAAAGCTTTTTTCTACAAACTTTGTTTATGATAATAATAAAAGTTGTTTTTGATCTTTTAAAAACTCTCAGACCCCCCCCCCCCCCCCCTCATCTTCTTGAAACATTGAAAATAACCTCAAAATAGAAATCGATTAAATTTTCTGAATCTTTAATCATTTTCAATTATTTTTAAATCTATGTGTGCATGAAATTAGTATGCAGAATTTTGAATTAATTTGACACTCGATTGACACTTTCAAAATTGACTGAAGCAAATTCACATTTACACAAAAATCCATCTTTTTCTTTTAAAATTTGCCAGAACCAATTCCAAGCTATTCAAAATAAAATAAATGTTCTCTTTAAATTTTTAAAGCCATTTTCACATTCGAATGTTAAAGCAGCTTTAAAATATATTTGTTTTTTGCTTGTTAAATTTTCTCAAGGAGCTTCCAATTTTCAATAGATTTTTCCACTTAATTTTGGAAACAAATGATAACTGTTAGAAACATACAAACGACTCGAAATATTTACACACAAGCCCACAACGAAATTTGTGTATTTTTGTGAAAATGGTAAACATTTTTCTGATCATTTCCTGTAATATATGTCTATACAAATAACATGCTCACTGCACACTTGCCTTTGGCACTATTCTATATTCAGAAATGTTTCTGTCTAACCATTCGATATTTGCATGACAAAGGAACAACTTTTAGAGTCAATTCAATCCCTGTGGTCTATCCCATGCATATATGGTAGTCCATAAAATCACAAAGATAATTGTCAACTCAATTTATTAAAGTTTTCACAGGAAATATTCTCAAAGTGCTCATTCGCATTGTTATCTATGTGCGTCTGGAGGTTGTCTGGTGTTAATTGGGTATGACATTTTTTATGAGAACTTCCTTGGAAGGAATTGGAACTGAGATTAATTTCTATTGATAATTTATTTGTCAGTCTATTAGAAGTTTATCAGAAGCGTGGCAAGAAGGTACTCGGAGCATTAAAGATAGTGTTCGATGCATTTCAATTTTAAATTTAAATAAAATTCATCTGAGACTAGGGTTGGGTGCACAGATAACCCTAGAAACTGACCCTTAAGCTTCAAGAAGGAAGGGGGTATGAAAAAATATTTCATTGGATTTTAAATTGTTTTTTATCTTTTTTTCGATTATGGAATGCTGTTTTTCTAAATCACACTCATTAGCTATTTCACGGGACTATATTGTTAAGGTTTAGCGAGAAAAGAAGGTTATACTTTCATGAAAATTTTAATAATATATTTTTTACAAGTCATCTTCAGCCAAGATCATTTGAGGCATAAAAATGATGATTTTAAAAACAATAATAAAAATCTACACAATTTATGCTAAAGATGAGAGTGATATGCCCTCCAACAGTCAACCTCCTTTGATAACGTGCCTTGAAGCCACTTAATAATGGAAATAGAATATTTATAAATTTGAGCACATATGAACATGAATTTTTTATGCTCACAAACTCCTCACAAATTTAAGAAAAATGTAAATTCAAACAAAAAAAAATCAAAAGAAGATTATTAGATAGCAATAATAATCATTTTACTTTCCAAGTGTCACAACACCAAAATTGTTTTGACAGCTGTTTGTATGTAAATTTTCCAGTGAAAGAGGCAACCCCTGTTTGATTTCAGCTTATCATATCACTCAAGTGCTCTCATAAAATGCCAAATATATTTTGACTGTTTATTTAACGAGCAACTGATAACTCATACAGAATATAGCAGATAATTTATTTGGAAATTTATACTCTCAATATGTGACTTTGTCGTCTTTTTTGCTTCTTTTTAATATGAATAATCAGACATGAATTTCCTTTGACACCGTGTAAACGAGCAATATCTCGATGATTTAGTTATACGCACACGTACCAGCTTGTATTATGCATCTTGGAGGTCTTCGCTCACAAGAGACTCATATTTATATGCGTACATGAGTTGTAAGTTACACGACACATGGTGTAAAGCGATATTACACAAAGCTTTAAAGCTTCTTTATTTTTTTATGTCATAGGATAGCAATAAAATAAAGTAATTGTATGACAAATCAGCTCCACAAAAGTTTATTGTCATTTCAGACATAGTAATGATCAACCCCTGAATTATTTTATAAAATATAAAAAAGTGAACTCAACTGCGGATGCCATAAATTAATTTCGCGAATGGCACATAATTAAATTATCACATTTATGGCATTAAATATGCCAGAAGCTCCATATTTTAGTTTATTGGGCAATTCTCATTCAACCATGATTCACGTGCTGTCTTAGAACCTTTTTCATGTCACTCAAAAGTGCACGATGAGTGAAATTCTTCGATTTAAGCATCTTATCGATTGACTTTAATACCCCCAATAACCTTTTTCTTGTGTACATGCATAATGTAATGCGGAAATTGGTAAAAAAAAATTTTAATCGCTGCCGATGGAAACTTCCGCTTATAAGGCAACGAATAAACATTTATGGGGTATTTAAAATAAGTTTTAATTTCTCTCGATATTTTTAACTGTAGTGAGAAAATTTCTCTCATTGAATATTTATTTGTTTTACGGCGAGGAATTTTTGTTTGTTTAACGAGTGATGATTATGACTTTTCACACAAAAAATTATTATTTTGGCCCATTTTGGCATTTTAACCTGCTTGAGTCTTTTCAATTATTTTTTTGATTTTTTTTAAAAATTCACAAAAATTCACTTTTTCGTCATCCAAAAAAATCTAATCACTGACGATCACTTAAAATATTTGTTTTTATTAATCCACAACAAGTTTAGATTTTTTAAAATTTTTTTTTAAATTTTCTCAAACACTCAACAAATTTATCTATATTGATTGATCAAACAAATTTTGTTCAAGTCATTCGCGTTAGGTTTTTTAGAGATTCAGTAAGTCCAAATTACAATCCATACCTTTCAACGTTCAACCGTCAACTAAACATGATTTTTCAATGAATGAAAATATAAGTACGTTTGATACTCATTTTTTCTCGATCCTGCGCAATTTTTTGTTGTGTGGACTCTGTTGATATTTTCTCAACGAAATCTTCCTTTACATGCACGATGTGCTTTTGTGTTACTTCTTATCACATCCAGATGTTTTTCTGTTCACATGTTCTTTATTGTTGAGGATTAAGAAGAACATAAGGAAGTAAAATAAAAAGCTTTAAAATCAATTATATTTTTTTATGATTTTTTTTCTCTTTTTTCTTGCAGATCTCTCCCATGATGATGCATTTTATGTTTTAGATTGGAGCTTTCTAGGCGACAGGGAATGTTGTATGTATAACATAAAAATTAAATCAAAGTTAATGACTTCCCTTGTGTGCATGATATGATATTGAATTTTTTTTTCATGCCATCCATTGCTTTTTATAAGCATAGCATAATTCTGTCGATATTAAAGGAGGAAAATATGTCAGCAACAGGTGAAATTTCACGCAAGAATTTTGGGCTCTATTTTTCTTTAAATAATTTAGTATTGTTATTTTATAGGGTTTTGCTTGCCTTGCTAGACTCTCATTTATTTTTCATATTGAATTCTTTTAACAATGCCGCAAGTAAATTTTCGTTTATTGAATTTTTCTGAATAAATAGTAATGCAGGTTTCAGGAAATGTGATTGAAGTTGAGTTGTTGAGGTTATTAAGCTTCTTATTTTTAGCAATGGAACATGTCTCGATATTTTAGAAATAATATTTATCATGTATGGGACTGTGTAGATTAAGCAACTTTTTCGATATCTTCAGAAGGGGGTTAATCATAAATTACGTCATTTTAAAAATTGAAAGTTCAAATTCTCTATCATAAGCCAAACACAATTCAAGATTTTAAACTTTTAAGAATAAAACTTTAACGGTTAAGCCAGTTTTTTACCTGGTTTCTGCCCAACCCGAGACACTCCACCCTAGTCACAAACAATTGTCCTAGAGTATAGTACATTTATTTATGATTTTACTTGCATACCCCCTATGAGAGCACTACAAACTTGCTCTTATTGAGCAACTAGAATTTGTTTTTACTTGCTTGTACTTAATGGAGTGATACCAACAAGTCAAAAATTGCGTGCAATATTTTTTGTAACATTTAACTTTACGGAAAGGTTCGTTTGTTATGAAAGACATCATTTATGAACATCCCCTTATCAATTTTCTAAGGAATTGTTGACAATAACTGTTACTAATTTTATGACGCAAATTAGATAGTACTTAGTATATATCTGTAACATATATAAAGAAGTTTGTCTGTATTCTACAAACTGAAGAGATGAACTTCAATTTAAGCTTGGGAAATGACATATAGTCCTCTTTTGATTGCTAGATTATTGTCGATTATTAATGTAGATTAAAAATTATTGCCATGTCTTTTTATCATGAGTAAGGACTCTAATGTTTAAAAGCTGATTTTTCAACTTCGCGCTTTTTTAAATTGAGAATTTCAAATCCACAGACTAAAATAAACAATAACACTGAACAATTTATATGAATAAATTGTGTTGAATTTTTTAACAGCCAACCCCCAGGAATAAAAATAAAGAATTCTTTCCATTAAAAATGTTTTCAATGTCATTGCTTTTCACCGTTTATTTTTGTAAATGACTTTCCGTTGTTCCATGTGAGACACAAAAATCATCATGTTATTAAACATGGATGAAGACATTTACTTCTCAGAATAAAATGACAAATATGTAATTCATAAAATGAATAATTTTAGAACATAAAGATCTCAATGGATAAACAATAAACGTACAACGTTGGAGTTGGAAGAACCTTAGGCTCAAATATTTATAAATATTCAATTGAACGTATGCAAACCTTAAATAAGATAACTCGAGATTTATTTTTCATGACTTTGAAAACTCCAATTTTTGCTTCTCGAAGTGTATAGAACAAAATAGAAGGAACATCGTTGGCCCATCTTATCTTACGATCATTGCAGATTTTATCTTAAAAATAAATTCACAGCCCAATTAAATTATTTGAAGTCGCCATAAGATATTGTGTGGAAATTAAAGTGATTGATTAATAATTACAAAAGTTTTCATTTATGTTCTAAGAGGAAATTTGTAAATGATGTAAAACACATGTGCAAGGTAAGGGGATCCAAACCTCATCTTTAGGATTGAAAATTGCACGGGAAAATTTCTATCTATCGTAATAAATAAGAATGTATAAAAATTAAATTATTAATTTTAGACTAAAACTAGCCTAGGGGGTAATGTCATTGATGAACGAGCCCTAATGAAAATCGCAATTTAAAAGTTTTTTTTTTCTTTTAAGTTAGCCTCTCGAATAGTAATTTTCATTATGGTAAGAACACGAAACGGGTGTGATTCGTTTCCTTGATACATCATAAATCCTTAATAACTTTCCAGTGAAAAATTAATTGTTGAATGAAATGCGAAGAAAACTTCAAACTTATTCTAAGTGTAAGCAGTAAAAAGTAAAGTATAAAATTCTTCTCTAGTTAAAATTAGAAGTTTTGTGGCATTTATGGCAATTCTTATAAAACCCATTGCTATTTGTAAATACACGCGGTTCGTACCTTTACATAAAATTAGTTTACCGCAACTACTTCAAATTTTAAAATAGCAGGAATTTTTTTGAGGTGATTTTATTGTGTTACCTTAATAATCCATTCATGACAATCTTCATCAACATTACAAATGAAAAATATGTGAATGAAATAAATTATGGAAACAAACAATTTCTTTGAGGCTGTTTTGCTATTTTAAATTCTTAATTGAAGGTCTTCTTGTTTTCTTATGTTTAGAAATTTAAAGGTTCATGAAATTATTCTGAAATTTTCAAATTGAAAAGCAATAACGGCTATGGAAAATTTGAATTTAAATCTAGCATATTCTATGCAGTTTGCTGCTTTTTCTCCTTATTATTTGCTTTTAAGCTGAGCAACTGTAGATTTGTAAACTTTTTGCAGGGTTCGTATGAAAATTAGATTCTATAGCTGCGTATGGAGCTCATCACTTTTTAAGAGGGGAGGGGGTTAGTCTAAGAAGTTATGAGTGAACGAGCCGTTTTAGTTTAATTTTTTGAATAATTCTTCCATATAATGCGCGAATGTTGACATTTTCACAAACATAATGCGCATAGTTTGGTATATAATACGCATCAGGATTTTGTAGCTTTACACTTGTCGAACCGAGTCAAACCCTGATGAATTTTATTGTTTCGAATATTTTCAGGTAAATTAGAAAGTTTCATTCGATACAGAACGACATAAACCATTAATGTTCATCAATTATTAAAGTATGACAAGACAAAAGCTGTTGTCAGATTGAGAAAATTTAAAATTTGTAAAATTAAAATAAGCAAATTCTAAAAAGTTGTCCAACTTAGTTTAACGGATCTTAGCAAATATAAAATTGAACATATCATCATCAAGACACTAGTTACAGCTCCCAAACTCAGTTCAAAAAAAACATTCAGAGAAAAAATATTGAAAAAATTAGTCGCAGAGAAGATTTTGATTAATTTAAATGTAAAAAAGTAATGTGAAGGATATTATTAAGTGAATTTAAAGTGAAAAGTGTCTAAAGTATTCAAAAAGATCGAATTAAAATGCAAAAACAAATTTTTTCTCTTCTAATTTTCATACAATTAATTAACCCAATATTTCCGACGCATTCTCAATATCAAGAAGAATCGAAAAGATATTTAAATGTTTATAGTGATGAAAATGAGAGAACAAAACCATTAGTTATTAAGAATACAAATCAAGATTTATTGGAAGCTATTCATAGTCGATACCGACGAGATTTAAGTGGAACTGCAGATCGTAATGAAGGAATTAAAAATATTACGACGAAGGTAAGAAATTTAGCTATTTATCCTTATCATTTCTATAATTTTTCGAATGTATTTGCCGACTTTTTTTCTTCTATGAAAAAGTGCGTCGTTTACCGTAACAAAAAAAAATCGTAAACACAATAAAAAAAGTTTAAACGATTAACTTTCATGTATTGGATCGTCAATATTAGCTCCAAAAAATGAATTCTAGTTCCGAAAGAAGAAAAAAAAATTTTATTCTCGAATAATTATGACGACTTTTTATGATGTGAATAGAGTCAGAGGAAGATGGTAATTGAGCATCACTATAGTGAGAAGAAGAGATGAAGAAGTGTGAGAAGAAATTCTTGTATTTTGTAATAGTCTGCTAATTTCCTTTGTACAGTCCTTTGCGCGTTACATTTTTACATATTACTGTATCTCACCCTCTCCATCCTCCTCCCCTCCTTCCTTTTATTTTGTGTGTTTAAATCGAATGTGCATGTAAGAAAATCTATTTTTCTCAGATCGTGATACACACTTTTATCTTTGATGGAAATTTTTATTTTTTTTTTCTTCTTCACCCTTCTTTCTGTTGCTTACATAGTGAATTTATAACAAAGAAGATTTCCCCACTCTCAAGTTTTGAGCTGAAAAATATTGAAAAATATTGATTTGAACAAAACAAAAAAAAACTTTTTCATTTCGTCGATTGATTTTATGCCATTGAAAGAATTTGAAGTGCTAAAATCATACTGATTTATTTTTTTAAATTGCCTGTCAACAAAATCATTTCCAATATTGATTTCTATCTATTCGCAATGGTACTTTTCAACCTACATAGAATGATAGCGAGCTCAAATCCAAAGACGAGCTCTTGAATGAAAATACAAATGAGAGTATACAATGAAATTTGATGATAATAAACATCCAACTAAGTAGAATTTATTTAATTCTTCGTCATGAGCTCAAAATAAGTCAAACGCTATTCTTTATTTTTGATTGAATAATTTTATTTCCTGAATTATCTTTGTAAGAATGTGTGCTTACGTCTATAAAAATGAGATATCTTTGTTTATTTCTTTCTTTCGGCTTTAGAGACGAGCATTACAAATCGCAGATTTTTCTTTTTCTTTTCTTTATGCTTTTCTGTTGTTTTCATTTCATTTCTCTTACTGGAAAATTTAAGTAATTGAGGTTTTTTGTTTTTTTTTTTTTGGAAGAGATTAAATCCACTTTAGATGTTTTCTGGAAATTTTTGACCCCTTCAATTGTTTAATATTTGGTTTCTATTCATGGATAATTAGAGGGTTTATATGAGCCGAGCAGTTGAATTTTAACTGCTTTATATTTGTGTCAATTGGAATTGGAAGGGGAGGATTTGATACACGGAGGATGTGACAGTGGTCTGGTTATGTTCAAAAATATTTTGAATTCTGTAGATGATAAAAATTCAGAACATAAAGCAGCAAAAGTGTTCATGAGGAACAAATTATAACTGTTTTGTGATTGTCAAGCTCAATTTTTCCGAATCATAAAATTAGTCTTTAGAATCATCAAATTAGGGGACGTTTACAAATTGTGGATGCATCGAAAATTAGATGAGGAAGTACACAAGTAGAACTAACTATAGCTACATACTAAGAAATTATGACACAGAATCATAGTAAAGCAATTAAGGTTCAGTTCTAATACTTAAAATGGATGTTAAATGACTTTCTTTGTATGAAAACTTTCGCTTTTCTAGAAACCCTTTTTTAAACGTCATTCACAAACAATCCCTCGTGAATCAATAAATGAATTACTGGCCTTAATATCACGGCCAATTTTCTGAATTATCAAATTAATCTAAATATTTATGAGTAATTTAAGTCACCCATAACTTGACACATATTTAAAAAAGTCCCAATGATTCGAGGAAATTCCATTTCGGAAGCATTACTAGCGCTCATTATTCGCAATCGTAATTATTCGCGATAACAAATTGTTCAATTTGTTTAAAATTTGTATACAATTATGCTTCATAATCTAGACATTTGCAGTCGCGAAAACATCCATTACTCATTCAAACGAAATGAATACAAAGAGAGAGATTACAGCTGTACTTGAATAAAAGAAAGTTTAGTGACTTTTTTTCCCCCAAAAAAAATGAGTATTTTTCTTTTTGTGTGCATTTTCAACGCTTGACGTCCGAAAATGAAAAGTGTATCGTGCATTTTTTTGTAGTAATAACAACACAAATATTAACGAGATGATGATAAAAATAACATAGGAAATGAGATCTATATGCAAGGTTTATGAACTCAAATTCGAAATATTCATTGTTTCTTAACAACAAAATATCTTATTTTGTGAGAGTGACTCGCACACTTATCAATAATTATTTATAAAGTGACTTATCTTATCAGCTACATGTGTCTGTTTACCATCATTATCCCATTTATTTATCAGATGTATCGAAGTAATTTAAACAAGTGTTTCGGACACTTTTGCGCCGTTTGAGTGCACTTTTGTCATTGCCAATACAAAGTTTGTTATAGAATTATTTTTAAAAACGACAAGTTTTAACCTTTGATGACTTAATAAGTCATTCTTCATTCCTCAATGAATATGTATAACAAAAGCCGACATAAAAATGTACATGCGGTTATCAACTGAATGGCTTAAACAATATTGAAATTATATCTTCACTCCATTCTTTTGTTATGTTCACTTTAATGTGTCAAAAACAATAAACAGCTGATAGCATGACGATGAAAAGTGAAGTCTTTGTTTATTTGGCCATATCGCTACTGGAATTTACCTTTTGGCGAATATTGGGGATCAATTTACAATTTTCTTTGTTTCGGGTTTTTTTGGTTCTTGAACTTGCTTTTTGGTAGTCTTAGATCTTATCATAATTTGGAGCTTACTGTGAATTAAAACTACAAATTAATTTTATGCGTCATTATGTGCCCTTGACATACTTAATTTATGTAATGATTTTTCGGTAATCAGAAGAATATTATTAGAATGTTAAGGAAGCCACCTAAGTGAATTCTGACATGAATTTAGTATTTAGAAGCAGTTGGATATGTAAAAAGAGAACGAACGGGAAGTGGTAAAGGAGTAGGAGTTTAAAGATCCGGTGATCTAAGAGTTATTCTTGCAGAACGCAAAATTAAATCTGCTAACCTAATTTGAGTTGATTTGCAGTAAATATAACTTTTTAAGACGGTTCCTCACTCGACTGGACCAAGTGAATTGGAGCCGCATTTAAGTTGAAAAACACTATGAGACCTAGAAAATGAAACTTAAGCTATAAATGAAAAAATAACTATCTATGCCACTGTATGCCATGTCACTCAAATATTCTAGATCATTCTAACATGCTCCCCTTGGAACCTTATTCCGGAAAAAAATGAATATTTCTCTTCAACTGAATCTTGCAAATGACTTCCTTTCCAATTTCAATTTAAATGCAAATTTTCCATTTACATTTTAAAATAAAAGAGCTCAATTGTTCTGAAAAATCAACCCCTAATCCTCGAAAATCGTCATGAAGTAATTTTGATTCCATTAATGCCAATTTTGTCAACCATCATAAATGAATAAAAAAAACATTGCGTAGATTTTATGATATTTAGAGTGATTGAAAGTCAATTTAATGCGGGTATAAATGAATATTATGTGTAAGAATAAGAAACAATAATCCTCATTACATGGAAATTATTTCTTTTTGATACACAAATGACATAAACGAAGTAAATAATATTTCACTCGAGTATGACAATCAATTATTTGTATTCAATTTTTATAATGGCAATTAGCAGAGCTCGAAGTTGACATGGGTTTTTTTAATAAAGATTAGTTGACTAGATTCAACTTTATATAGATTGTTTGAATCGACTAGATTTATCTTTACAGAATCTAATTCTATTTTCGAGCTTAAGTAATTAAGTTGAATGAAAGGGCAAACAGTAAAGTTGTGGAACTGGTCAAAATTATCGATTTTGTAATGTAGGATACACTAAGGATTATTCTTAAAAGAACTCAGCGTTCCCTGACATCACACTTAAAAAATAGAGCTTTTCATCAACATTAGTAGAATTTCTAATATTATGTCAGCAAGTTCTGGGGCTTTCAAGAATACTTCCGAGTGTATATGCCTTGAATCTAACTTAACGACATTATTCTGTAATATTAGACACAATTTGATTAATATTTTTTTTTTCTTATTTTGCAGCATAATTCGCTTAATGATTCCCACGCACAACTCATGGTCCATTGGCTCGGTGAGGGGACAAATGTAATGATTTGCTTAGCTCGCGATCCGCCTTTAGGTCCAAATGATGATCCAAATATCACCACAACAACGCCGTCAACAAGTAATTTACAATATTAAAAAATAATTATTTCCCCAAAAAAATTAACAATCCAAACTTTAAATTACAGTTTTCATTTCCTACGATTACGGTGACATATTTATTGATAAAACGGAAAGTTTTCGACTAAACAAAAGTGGAAATATTATAAACTCAACTGTCGATTTATTTGTAACACATCCAAAATTTAACACTGTATGTATCTTCTTTGTGTTCTTTTCGAACAAAACAAAACTGTAAAAGGGTTGTTCAAAAATGATGATAAAGTAACTGCATGAAGTGGTACCTAATTTTTCGATAGACCTCATTTATGAACGACTTCTAAATTATACTTCTTATACTCACGAATGTTTTTATTTTGAACTAGATCGTATTTACTGATACCAGCAATAATGCCATTTTTACATCCGACGATAATGGAGAAACAATAAAGAATCATCTTCTTGACTTTAAGCCATCCGATGTATCATTCTTTGAAGGAGATTCAAGGACATTCTTAGTATTAAATAAGGATGATCCAGAGCGAAGACTTTATCTTACTACCGATTTCGGAGAATCATTTGATCTTTTACAAAGCTATGTAAAGTCATTCATATGGTCATCCGGTGATGGTGTTGCAACACATTTATACGTTGAACGAAAGGAGCCAACAAATACATCATCAATTATTTTCATTAATGCATCTGAACTGTTAAAGAATGGACCAAAGAAATTCCATTTACTCATTGAAAACGTTCAAGAGTTTTACGTTAAAAAGGATTTCATGTTCGCAACACAAAAGTTATTGAACAATACAAAACTACTCGTTTCTTATCGTCGTGAAGCATTTGTGAAAGCTGAATTTGTGACAGAATTGGATATTAAGGGGATTCATATTGCAGATATTGAGGGCAAGAGAATATTAGTTTCAGCAATTCACAATGAGAAAATATCACATCTTTACGTATCAGAATCGAATGAGAAAATGACTGACATTAAGTTCGTTCAGAGTCTGGAGAATATTTTCACATACATGCCAGACTTGAATTGGCGTAGCAGTTGGTTAACACAATCGGCAGATGAACCATTTACTGATCTATATAAAGTTGAAGGATTACGTGGAATTTATATTGCATCGAAAATCATAAAAATGCCAAATACAGATGCAATTTCACCTGATAATTTGGCTTCTGTCATTACATTCGATCATGGTAGTACGTGGAGTTCTCTTATTGCTCCAACTGTCGATGATGAAGGACAAGCTATTCATTGTAAAGACTGCTCATTGCATTTAAGTCAAAAGTTTAGTCAACTTTATCCTGTCACACGTTCAGTAACCATTATGAGCTCTAAGTCGGCGCCTGGCGTTATTATGGCATCAGGAGTTATTGCAAAAAGTCTCAAAGGACATCCAGGTGTTTACATTTCCCGTGATGCTGGTCTTACATGGAAACAAATACTCAAAAATTATCATTTCTTTAACATGGGTGATCATGGTGGTCTATTGGTTGCGGTTAAATATTTCAAATCGAAGGGAGAAACGAGAGAAATTTTATATTCTACTGATGAGGGTGATAAGTGGTCATCATACTCATTCCACAGTACAGACTTGAAAGTTTATGGTTTGATGACAGAACCGAATAGTAATTCTACAATATTTACATTGTTTGGCTCAGAAGTTAGTGAACATCGTTGGTTGATAATAAAAATAGATTTAAAGAACGCTTTTACGTCAAATTGCACGGAGGATGATTACAAGTATTGGGCACCAAAGTCACATAATGGCGATAGTTTTATGCCCTGCGTTCTTGGACGACAAGATACATATCAGCGTAGAAAAGCTCATGCAAATTGTCATAATGGAAAGGATTATGTTCGACCCATCCGTCAAGAAGTATGTTCATGCTCAAAATGGGATTATGAGTGTGATGTCGGTTTTACAAGACTTAGTTCATCATCAGGTTGTGTTCGTAATAAAACTATTACAAACTTTGACCCATACATGGTCCCAAGCTTCTGTAAACCAGGATTATATTATAATCGCACAAAAGGATATCGTAAAATTGAAGGAGATGAATGCTTTAATGGATTTTCATCAATTTATGAGCCACAGTTAATTCCATGTCCATTTAAATCTACCGGTGAATTTTTAGTCGTGGCTCAAAGGGATCGAATTTCAAAAATAAACTTATCTGATGGTGTTAAAGAAGTCTTTCCAGTCACAGGCCTCAAAAACGTAATTGCTATTGAATACGATCTAGCCAATAATTGTGTCTTTTGGGCTGATATTATGACAGACGTTATTGGAAGACAATGCTTGAATGGCAAGGAGGCTCCAGAAGTTCTAGTTGAAACAGGATTAGCATCAGTCGAGGGTATGAGTTATGATTGGATCAGTCAAATGCTTTACTTCGTTGATGGAATGAGATTGAAAATTGAAGCTGTAAAAGTTTCATCTCATGCACACGAGAAAATGCGACGCACCGTTATTCCATCAACAAAATTGGCTAAACCGCGAGGCATCGCTGTTCATCCAATGGCTGGATATCTCTTCTGGACAGGTAAATCATTTGAATAGAAAACTTTTTTGACAGAATTAATTGTTCGTTATTGTTCCTCAATAGATTGGAATGCATTTAACCCATCGGTGTCGAGAGCAAATTTAGATGGTGAAGATAAAAAGGAACTATTTACACAACCGGAAGTATTTTGGCCAAACGGAATCACAATTGACTTTATTGCTGAACGAATTTATTGGGTTGATGCTAGCAAAGATTATATTGCAAGTTCAGATTTTAATGGTAAAGGATTTTTGAGAATTTTACATTCAGATGCCAGAGTTGAACATCCATTTGCTGTGGCTGTACATAAGGAATTAATGTTTTGGTCAGATTGGAAGATGTCAAGCGTATTTTCAGCTGATAAGGATCATGGAATTATGATTAGAACTGTTGCAGAAGAAATGCTCAATTTGATGGACTTGAAAATTTATGCTCACTCAATACAAGAAGGAACTAATGCTTGCAATACAAACAATAACAAATGCTCACATTTCTGTGTAGGAGCTCCCAAGAACGGATTCAAATGTTTATGTCCAGATGGAATGCATCTAAGCTCAAATGGCTACGACTGTCTCTGTCCCGATGATCAAAAGCCATTCTTAAACAACTCGTGTTCACAGAGTGCAAATACTTGTGCTCCCGGGTTCTTTGCATGTGCAAACAAACTCTGCATTCCGATGACTTATCGCTGTGGTATGTGTTTTCAGAAAAATAAATATTTTTTATCTTCCATATTGTACTATTATCTTCTTAATAATTCATTGTAGACGGAGAAGATGATTGTGGAGATAGATCGGATGAGAACGGATGTGCAAGCAACAAGCCAGCTTGTCCACCACACATGTTCACTTGTGTGTCTGATCAGCAATGTATTCCTGAATATTTTGTTTGTGATTTCGAAAAGGACTGCACAGATGGTAGCGATGAAGCTTCTTGTAAACAACCCAAGTGTAAAGACAACGAGTTTACTTGCGATAACAAACGATGCATTAGCAAGAAATGGGTCTGTGATAAAGAGAATGATTGTCGTGACGGTTCCGATGAAAGAAATTGTGGATTAAAGAATCAAACTCAAATTACATGTAAAGAAGAAGAATTTAGATGTGCATCAACAGGTGCTTGTATTCCACTTCAATGGAAATGTGATTCCGATAATGATTGTCCTGGTAAGCACTTTAAAAAATCATTATTTGCAGGATGTGGCATATTAATCATTATAATTACACAATTTTAGATGCGTCCGATGAAACAAATTGCAATAGAAATACAACATGTGATCCTTGGATGTTTTCGTGTGGTGATGGAAAATGCATTTACAAAACATGGACATGTAAGATGAATTTAATGCTTTTGTTCTAGATTTTAAAAATAACTTAATGACTTTTTGAATAGGTGACGGTGAAGCAGATTGCGCAGATAAATCAGATGAAGTGAATTGTACAACAACAACAGATACGACCAGCAAGAAGACGCCAATCAATTTCGATAGTAATAACTGCCAAGACTGGATGTTTAAGTGTGCCAATTCAAAATGTGTGCCGTTCTGGTGAGTAATCTCTAGAAAAGCTATAAACTTTTGGATTTTAAAAATGTTCATTTAATTCTTCTAGGTGGAAATGCGACTCAGTTAATGACTGCGGTGATGGATCTGACGAAAGAGGATGCAATCGTGATGATAATTCTACAATTGTAATTCAACCGACAGAAGCTCCAAAGCCACAGAAATGCGGGCAACACGAATTTAGATGCGATACGGGTGTTTGTATATCAAGACGATATGTATGCGATGGCGTTGCTGATTGTGGACGAGGTAATTAATTTGTTTACTCTTTTCTATTCAATCCACATCTAATAACTCAAATGACTTCATTATTTTAGGTGAGGATGAAGAAAATTGTCCCGCAAATAGAGCATCATGCTCATCAAATGAGTTCCGTTGTCGCAGCGATGGAAATTGTATGCCAATGGAGAAATATTGTGACGGCGTAAAGCACTGTGCAGATGGCAGTGATGAAGATATGTGTACATTTAAAACAAATGCCACCACAATTCCAAATATTGATTGCAAGACGAAGCCCGGACTCTTCTTCTGTGATGATACTTGCTTCCCACTCATGAAAGTATGTGATAGCGCAATCGATTGCATATCTGGCGCGGACGAAGAAGACTGTCAGAACAAACAGCGTGTTTATCAAGTATGTCATAAAAATAATAATGATTTAAATTCTCTTTATCATCATGTTTTCAAAATGCACGTCTGCAAATATTGAAATTATGTTCACGTTATAAATTAATTGAGTAGGAAGAAGTCATAAGACTTTCTATTAAGTACAGTAAATTGAGTAACTTAATTAATTGAGTAGATTTGAAGTAAAGTTTTCTAAGCGAAAAATTACTTGCTATCCATGCAGCAAATCGTGCATAAAAACAGTCACGAAGACCTACTATCATTCTCAAATTTATTCTAGGTCGTGTCAATTGGTGTGAACGAGCGAATGTTAAATGCTACGAGTTTCCTCATTTATTGGTGGATTGCAGTTCCACAGAATATGACGTTTGAATATTTACCATCAATCTACAGTCATGGCGATTGGAAGAATGTCACAACGTGGATTGAACAAACTGAATATCGATTTACAAATTTAGAACCATTTACACTCTACAATGTGACTGTTTATGTAAGAATTAAAGGATCAACAAAAGTATTCGTACCTTATCTTTACTATGAAGTTGCAACAGCTGAAGGTGGTAAGTATTTATACTTGAATAAAGGGTAGAATTTCAAATAATCTTTTCAATTATGATTACGTCCCTTAGTCCCAACTGAGCCAATCAATGTTTCATCAATTCAAATTAATGGATCACGTGTACAAGTAAGCTGGTCTCCTCCAATCAAAACACATGGACATTTGGAAGGATATAGCGTCTACTATCGATCTCAAGTGCAAAGAGCTTCAAATCCCCAAATAATTAGAGTAAGTGCAGCAGAGCTCTCTTTGATAATTGAATCAGATTTCCAAGGAAATGTTACATATGAGTTTTGGGTCAAAGCCAAAAATAGAAAGCATGAAGGACTGTCGTCAAAGATTGTTCAATTGATCTTTGATGGCACTTCAAACATCGACTCAATTGCTGGACTTTCATTGAAAAATATGGATGAACATAGCATGACACTGTCATGGAACAAAATTAAGAAGGCTGAAGGATATATTATTCAACTCGTGTTACCTCATCCTTATCCAAGAATCGATCCGTATAGAACTCAAGATACTTCACTTACGGTAGAGAATCTAGTAAACGGTGCTCAATATGTTGCAAGAGTATCTGCATTTGTCAAAAATTATACCGGTCGATCACAGTCACTTATTCTTAAGAGGAATGGTGCACCATTACCAGAAATTCAAGGAATTCAGTCATCACGAGAAAATGATAATGTCAAATTGTCATGGTCGAAGCCAACAGTCCCAGGAATTGGCAATCAGAAAATTATTTATGGAATCTATTACGGAACCAATTTAGAAGAACTTTTTGATTTACCAAAGCACAAAACAGAAGAAACCTCATACGTCCTCTCAGATCTCCATGAATGTCAGTCATATCTTATTGGTATTGGAATTGTTGGACCTTTGGGTCCAGGTCCTTTAGGTAAAAATCCAAGGGCCATCGAAACACATTTCAATGATAAGAAGCCGCCTAGAAACTTGTCAGTATCGTTTGATGATACCAAGCATACGATGGAAATTTCATGGTCACACAGTTGCTCATTGAGCAGCACTAAATATCCTACTTATATTGTAAGCTCTTTTAATAATTTTGTCGGAAGTTCAGTCTTTTATATTAATCTTTTGTTTTTGCTCAGATTTCAATGCGTGAAGTCGTCCGAAACGAAACAACCCACGTGAAGGTTTCACCATCCTCAAATGCTACGATTCATCATACGTTCCACGATATTCCAAGAGGTGCAAAATACGAAATTTCTGTGGCAACAGATGTTAGAAATTCTGTGGGTTCAAATATTACAGCAACAGCAATGCCACTTCCGGCACCTCGATTAATGAGCATCTATCCAGAAAAGAATGGATCATACGTTGTTGCATGGAAGGAAGTGAAGGATATGGGAAATGAAAAGTGAGTTTACAGCAGATTGAAAGTTAACGGAAATTAAAAATGTCAAAATAATTGTTTTTATAGATTCATTTACCAAGTGGTTGTGAGACCTGGACACGGTACACGTGATGAAAAACATCACGAACCGATTGTAACATTGGAATCCGAACAGCCTCCGATTTTAGTTCATCCTAGCCATGTGGGTGGTGCTCTTTCGGCTGGACAAATATTCAATATTGGAGTGAGAATTAAGACTAAACGAGTAAGTATATTGTTGATTGACATCCATCAGTAAGGGTCCACTAATTTAACAACTTGATTATTTACAGGGAATGTACTCAGACATTGGTGATACAGAAATCTTCGAAGTGCAACCAGACGCATTCTCAACAGTCCAAGCTGGATCATCGAGCGGTGCATGGCTCTTCATACTGTCACTATTTGTGATAGCTGGTATGGCTAGTGCAATCATGTTCTTGATCCAGCGACATCGTAGACTTCAAAATTCATTTAGTAGATTTGCAAATTCACATTATGATACAAAAACAGGTGCAACAAGGATTGGTGATGCTTTGGAGGATGATGATCTTCACCAAGAAGTTCCATCCGCATTCTCCCACGCAGATGACGAGCCGCTGGTGGTTGCATGAGACTAATTGGAACTAAAACGACTAAAAATTGATTTCGTCTAATAAATTCGGTCGCATTTTAGAATATTATTTAATTGACTACATAGCATGGATGGTGTTATTTGGTAGGATACGCCCCAATTGCAACACAGGATATAAAGTGAAAAGATACAGATATGAGAAGAAGAGAATAATTCTTTTTTGATATATATTAGACAAAGATTATTTAAATAAGTTTGATAGTAAAATTTTTATTATTCAAATAATGTCAGGAATGTTGAAAACAAAGATTAATTTTAGTTTTCATATTTTTCGCATGTAAAACCTTTTTATTTATTTCATATTAAGTGGATGTGCAGATAAAAAACCCTTTTTCTAATGTAAATAATTTGAGCTCTACAATAGGATAAAAATCTGTTATATAAAAAAAAGAGATAAAAAAAAAACTTTAGAATTTAAGTGAAGAAACCAGTTGAGAAATCATTCCCGACATTGCAATGTAATTAATGTGTGCGTGCATGTGTCAAAAAAATCATAAAAGAAAAAGAAAAAAAGAATTTATTCAGGTTTTTGAGATTAATTTATATTTCTTCTTTTCACAAAATAGTTTATAGCTAATATGACACAATTTATTTTAAAAAAATGGTAAAACACAAAAGAAAAAAAAAAATGAATGATAAATTTAATATAGCGACGATGAAATGTTAAAGACGATGAAAAATGTGATATTTCTGAAAAATATGTAATCTTTTACTATTTTTTAATCTTCCGTTATTGTATGATTTTATTTTTATAATAATAGAATGCACTTTGTTATTTCTTTCACCAAATGTATTTAAAACCTGCATGAGGGGCAACTTTACGAGTACTATTATGATTTTTCCCACGAGTAGGCACACTATTTGAGACCTATACTGTTGCAGCTATCAGTTAAAGTGCGTGGTAGTCTGTGACTTTGATAATTTTGTGATCTACTGGATGGAATGTTTTAAAATGTTGTATTATCGTTACAAATTCTTCAATAGATTATATTTATACTAATTTATAATTTGCTTACAATTCAACTATTAAGTTTAGAACCAAATGCACAAAAAGTCAAAGCTTCAAGTCAAACTAATTTGAGTCGAATCGAAATTCATTTGAAAATGTTGACAGAATCGACTCGAGTTGACTTCGAGATCTGCGAAACAATGACTGATTTGAAGAAACTTTCAAAGTTGAAATTAATTCATTTTTAACAAAAAATATCCACAAGACTAAATCAACAAAAATTCATATCGTAATAGCTACTAGGAAAATTTTATTATGCATCAATTTACTCATATTTTGAAGATAAAACTCTTAAGGTTGCTCATTTAATCGATAAATTAAAAGATTTTATTGCTTCCTTATAGCAAAAATATATTTGCAACGATATTAAAGCATCTCTTTAGGGAAAATATTGTAATAATCTTGCTCATTTTTATTATTAATTAATTACAATCTTTTGTTATTTCTTTATTAAACACAAACACAACAAAATATCTATTATTTTCATGTCAAATTATTTAACATAAATCTTAATAACATCACACAATTAACTATTTTTCTTTAACTCATTAAACTACATTCAGAGGCTAGCTATATTATTTCTTTTCACATTCTTACTACAAAACTTGACATCAAAAAATTAATATTTTTTAATTCATTAAGTTCCTGAAAAAAATAAATAAACGATTAATGCCGCCAAATAATCTAACATTGAAGGAAAAAGTCTTAATGATGAGAAAGTTATCATAACGGTGGTTAGATGTGAAGAAGTGATTGACTGATTGGGTAAAACACAAGCATTAGAATGATGAAATAAAACGTAAATTAAGGAAAATAATAAATTTGGAACATTTCGAAAAAATTTACCGTGAAAGTTTGATATTTTTTCATGATCAAAAAACATTTCGATTTAATAATAAAAAAGATAAAAATGAAAATGAATGAAAACCTAATTGTAAAAGTCCGATGAAAAAAAAAAAAATCAATTGTGTAAATGTAATAGATCCTTTATATACACGTGAAGGGTTTTGAATAAAACGTTTTTCTAAAACATAAATTGACTGCCTTTTCTATTCCTTACTTCCGTTAAAGACAGAATATACAGTACCGTTCAAAACTGTTTCCATGTTTGAAGAAAAATTTTCTTTTCAACATATTTATTATAAACTATAACATTTTCCCATCATGTTATATATCGTTTCAAAGCTTGTTTAATAAGCTATTTAAAAATGATAAGCAACTTTGGAAAATATTTAATTAAAGTAGAATTTTTACTTAAAATATACACTGTCACATGGAAACACTTTTGATCTAATAATTGTTTTTTCAAAATTTGAAGCAAAGCAGAACTAATTGGTTAAAGTTTGTTTATTATAGTAAAAAGCAATTAAAATATAAGATAATAGCACATAAATTAAGTTGCTAGACATAGTTAAAATATTAAAATAAGAATGTCAAATCACATGATAAATGTTCATATAATTTTGCAAAAAATTACTGAATTAAAGCCAAATGTGATGTTTGAATCTAAACAAATGTATTTTAGCTTATTAAAGTTGAAAAATAGTTTTTAATTGTAAATTAATGCATTTGAAAGCAAAAAAATTTATAACATTTCATGGAAACTCTTAAATTTCTTTCCTTGCAAACACAAACATTCAAAAATTTTTATTATTTCTTCCATATATGATTGATGCAGTCATTGTGAGAGTAAAAGGATTTTATTTGCAATTTTGTTGGTCAATGACAGCCATATTCAAAAATTTTTATAAGCATTTACAAAAATTCAATTTTTTTACGTAAATATCGACTTTTGATAATCCAAAATGATTAAAATAACTTTAAAATCCATATGCATTAATTTACAATTAAAAACTATTTTTCAACTTTAATAAGCTAAAATACATTTGTTTAGATGCAAACATCACAACATTTGGCTTTAATTCAGTAATTTTTTGCAAAATTATATGAAAATTTATCATGTGATTTGACATTCTTATTTCAATATTTTAACTATGTCTAGCAACTTAATTTATGTGCTATTATCTTATATTTTAATTACTTTTTACTATAATAAACAAACTTTAACCAATTAGTTCTGCTTTGCTTCAAATTTTGGAAAAACAATTATTAGCTCAAAAGTGTTTCCATGTGACAGTGTGTATTTTAAGCAAAAAATCTACTTTAATTTAATATTTTCCAAAGTTGCTTATCATTTTTAAATAGCTTATTAAACAAGCTTTAAAACGATATATAACATGTTGGGAAAATGTAATCGTTTATAATAAATATGTTGAAAAGAAAATTTTTATTCAAACATGGAAACAGTTTTGAACGGTACTGTATTGGCAATGAAAAAATTTACCTATTTCAACGGAAATTCAATTTTCCAGGTACCAAAAATATTCATTTTAAAAATGAACATCCCAAAGAAGCAATAAAAGGCACTTACCTGCTACGAAACTTAATGAAATCCAGCTTGGTTTTTTGAATTAAATTTGAATCGGTTTTTTTATTGTTTGAATTTTTTAATTTTCTACATTAATTCATAGATGGAATTTGAACAGATTTACACATCATTTTCGAAATCCTTTGGGTTCTTGCGTGTGTAGCTATCATGGATACCTTCAACATAGCTGTAGATGAAATATCCGACGATGAATGCTAAAATTTAAGAATTTTATGGATTAGAATCGGTATTCTAGGCACTTATGAATGATTTAAGATGCTATAAGTTGAAGTTTCAACTGGAATAAGCACCAACAACACAATTGTGAGCACATCCGCAGCAGTTAAGTGCGTTGCTGGTCGAATAGGTAAGGCGCTTGGCTCAAATTCGGTATGGTAACTCGAAGGTCGTCGGTTCGAATCCAGTCATTTCCAAATTTGTTCTTTTTCGGAAGTTTAGATACTTCGACTGCTTAATGTACGAGATCAAGCCATAATTGGGCAACGTTGGATTAAGGAACGGATCAGGAACTTGAAGTGTAGCGGGAGAAATAGGAACGAGGGCTACAAGATTACCTTATAATGGAATATTGTCAGAACGGACCTGAAATGTATCACATCACGCCCACAGAAGATTGAAATGAGAGCCTGAATTTAATCGAAACCTAGATTTGAAGATTAGAAGCTTGATTCTACGTCACCCATAGTGATATGAAATGTATCACTAATCAATGCAGAAAGTAAAACATGTATAAATACTAATTCTTCCGGACGGTAACGTCGACAAATAAATAATAATCCAGTTTTCAATTCCTTCACAGCATCCAAAAATCACCCAAAACAATCCTGGATCACATCGAAAACATTCAACTTACGAGGCACAACTCTGAAGATTTGACCACTGATGCGACGGAAGGTATTTGGAACTCCTTTGCTGATTACTCCAGCGAATGCCTTCTGCTCGAATGGAGAAATCTTGTGTGTAACGATTCCACGAATTTTAGCTAGTTCTCCAAAGTGCTGACCTCCCATTTTATCTAAAAAGAATAAAAACAATGAATTTAGATTAGAACTAGTGAGGATCGTGGCTTAATTAAAGATTTTTGTGATTAGGTAATTCACTGGATCTTTACAAAATGTTATTTTGTCAAATTACTGTGCAAATATTAATCAATTTAAGGAGGCAGTTGTGTAAAGTTTTAGATTGACTTTTAAGTCACGTTTATAACACTACAGAATATTTAATTATAGCAGAATAAATACCTTAAAATTGATTTTTCAATTTTTACGAAAAATTCTTCAAATTTCAATAAAACTCTACAAATGTTTAAGTTTAGGGGAAAAACAACTTGGCAATGATTTTCAAAAACATTTGAACAGTTTTCAGATTTTGTAAACATTGGTAAACATAAATTAATCTCGAGTTTAAAGCTCAAAATTCCACTAAAATTAACATTTAATTAGCTAAATCACACAATTAATCATCAAACAATCCTCGAATGTATTCACGAGATGAAATTATAGAGATATTATTAAGGCAAAGCCTACAAAATGAGGATATAAAATACGAGAAGTTTGAAAAACTAGGAATTCATCCAGTAATTAATTTAACCAGCAACAACATCAATTATACCTGTGAATTCTGCAAGAAGAACTTATTGTCAAGTCACTTGCTGGATCTACATGTGTCAGAGAATCACGATTCTTTTTTTGAATTGCAAAAGAGCAGGAAACCAAGTGTAAGTAATAAATTAATTAACATCCAGTTCTTGTCAAAGCTAATCTTTAATTTCTATAGTTCCAATGCTTCCTTGAAGCTTGTCAATTTTTATCAAATGATTCAGACGAACGAAAGAATCACTGCATCAGCCAACACAAATTCCCACACGATTTCCCGTTTGAAAATAGTCATGTAAAGAAGCAAGAGCCAGAAGTCGGCAAGAAGAAGTCATCACCAGTGTCACAAATCAAAAACTTTCATTTTGGACATAGATCTCAAAAGACATTCAAGTCTAGTGGACAGACAAAGATCGATATGAAAGAATTAATGGATGTTCTGCCAGATGCATAAAATTTATGCTGTATGCTGCATGTTTAAAACATAGAGCAGGGTTTTGGAGTTCTTTTAAGGTAAGGAATAAAATTTATGAGATTTTGTATTGAAATTATTATGAAATAAATTATGTTTGAGTGAGGAACTGGAAATATCTAAATAATTAGGTAGCTTAGGAATGTTAAGGAAGTAAAACATAAAAGTTACCACAAAAAACATGAATCAACAGAAATCAGGGCTCGACAAAGATTTAAATAGCATTTAGGGTCTGACAGATTTGTAATGTAAAAAATTCAGGGTTCAACAAACAAGCCCATCCACATTCATGAATTCCCTTAGCATTTTTGCTTTCTTTCATCTTTCATTCATTCATACAATATCTTTACAGTGATTCAGATTATAAACTTTTTTGTTTAAGCCATTAATTGTGACAATTAATGCAATTTAGTGTAGTGAATCATAAAACACATAACTCAATGTGATGGAATGAAATCATAAACGTTAAGTGAAGCATATTAAAATAAATATAAAAGGCATAATAGAGCTAAATAAGATTTAGATGAAAAGAAGTTAAATGTATTGAGGGAAGAAAAAAATTGAAGAAAAAAAAAATTGAGAATTAAAAAAAAAAGTTGTGATTTATTTAATTTGTGAATTTTTATTGGAATAATAAGCACAAAAATGCCCGACACAGAGATCGAATTAATTGATAAAAATAATTTAATAAGTGAATTACGTAGTTGCAATCCAAATAAGAAGGAAATAATAATTTTGGATTGTCGAAGTGCTAATGATTATGCAGTCAGTCATATTAAACATTCAGCAAATATCAGCATTCCAACGATTATGCTTCGGCGACTTAAAGAAGGTATGCTAGATCTGATGAACTTTATTTTTTGACATCTTTACTTATCATTTCATTTTTAACAGGCAAAATTGACTTATTCAGCACAATTAAATGCAAGGATCTAAAAAATCGAATTCTCGGAATGAATATTCAGACACTATTCGTTCTATACCACAACAGTCCAGCTTTAAATAGCCCAGATATAATTCATATATTATCGAGAAAATTGATGGCTGAATTCAATGACAAAAAAATACGAGTAGTTTGTTTAGCTGGTGAGTATATACACTTTTTCATCATCGTTTTCTGCGGCCCTTCCCTTCCATTTTTTTTTTTACATCATTCATGCCTGTTTTTTCTTTCTTTTCCATCCATTGAAATTTTCATTCATAAAACGAAGGAAAAATCTCTCAACAAAAAAATTTTCTTTCTCTTTCTATTGTGCGCGACTAAGTCAGGCAGATTAATATTAATTTTTATCCCTACCAGATTAACATCCCCAATTGTTATTCTAAAAATCAAGTGAAAACAAAAGAAGGTAGCAAAAAAAAATTATAATTAATGAAAGAAAAGTTTCTAGTCGTCGTTGTGGATGTGTTGGAGTTTTTTTTAATGAAATATGCGTGGGCGGGCGGTTCATTCAGTTTTTTTTCTGCTGCTGCTCAATCCAGGGGTGTCATAAAAGCCATAAAAATTCAGGTAGTGATGGAAAAGTTCACCTCACACTTCCAGACGCCGACACATAAAGAAAACAGTTTAATTTATGCAGCACAGTACGTAAATATTGAGTCATAAAATCCTAGATAATCTCTGTGTAGATAGCACATGGTTAATATAGCGATTATTCATCCCTGCCTGTAAACGAAGCATTCCATTCAAGGCACATCAGTCTGTCTCGCTCGCACTTGAATTTCCTGTGTTACTGCCAACCAACAAGTTGTGTACTGCTGCTCTATATGGAATTTTTTATTTCAATGGACATTTTGCACATTTGCAACAATGATTTTCATTTCATTTTAGTATTATAAAAAAGAGTTTCATCCGACTACACTAATACAATTAATTGCATACATATAAATAATATATTAAAGCCAACACATAATTTAGTGAATGGAAGTAACGAATGAATGAATGAATTCATTCACATTTTCTATATCTTTATTGTATTTCATTTAAGCTTTTATTTTTTGCTTACTTGCGGTTCTATTTTATTTGATAGAGCTATAAAGTGTCAGAAATTTGACATCTACGAAGTCAGTCAGCGACTCAAATTCCTTTTCATGGCAATCAATTTAATTCCTCACTTTTGTGCTGCTGCTGCTGAGAAAAAAAAAGCTTTAAATTTACTACAATTGACTCAATTGATTTACATGAAACAGACTGCTGTCTCGTTCTAGCATGCACAAATTATTGGGGGGAAGAGAAGTAAAGTTTCTTTATCATCATCTGAATCTGAGTTTAGAAATAATGAATGAAAATGGGTAAACATAGCTTACGTATCCTGCTATGACATTACCGCATTAATGTAAACTTTGCGTGGGTGTCTCGAGATTTATCGAAGAAAAAAAAAATTGGTTGCATGCTTTTCTTTTCTTTCGTTTAGATGAACGAAATTTAATCTATTGCCGAATTTCCTTCAATGAAGCTGTTCATGTACGTTACTCATCTCCTCATTTGTTATATAGAATATTTTCCTTGTGCTATGAAAAATAATTTCAGACGCTCAATGGGTGAGAAAAAAAAAGATGTTTGTGTATATATCTATAGCTATACAGCACAATGTAGATACTAAGCACAACAAACAAACACATACACAACAAACAAAAAAAAAATTGATGACGTAATGACTTTATTTTCTTCTTTTCTTCATTCATTCATTCAGTTCCATTCATTCATTCAATATTTCTTTCTTTTTTTTCGGTATATAACTAAACATGATGAATAAATTGAAGACCATCTTTTTTTTATAGCGCACGCTATCGCGTGGAAAATGCTAGTCTCTGCAAAAAGAAATTTATAAATGGAACGTCATTACTAAATAATCTGGAAATGAATGAAATGACCTTTAATGTTCTGAAAACTTTTAGTTTTTTTTTCTCTCTTTCGCTTTTTTTACGATCTTCCAGTACGATAAATGGATTTCCTCTCCTTCTTGCTGTTCGTACTTAGCTTACGATGTAGAAAATTGTCTTATTGACTGTGGTTTGGGTGGTTTTGGATGAAATGAATAAGATATTTTGGATTGAAACTATTCATTCTGAAGAACTGAACAATTGTGATCTATGTCAGCAGCTGAATAGATAGCGTCAGCTCTACAATTTACAATTCCAAGGCAGAACCTTGTGTATACTAAACTCATGACACCATCTCTTGGATGTTTCAAAAACATTGATGCAGGTGTCGATTTTTAGGTCTATTCTAACCCTAGAATCGACGTACAATGTGTTGAACATAATTAAAATTGGATTCCTTGAATAGCCTTGAAAAACAGTTCTAAAGCTCAAAGTCTGATAGCTTCAAGGTTTTCAATGAAAAGTTGCATCAAATCAACTTTTAATCTTGTTTCAGGCGATTGTGTTTTAAAGAAAGCATATTCTTTTTATCTGAAAAATAAAACAAGTCAAATTTTATCTAAAAAATTCTCTTTTGTAAGGACATTTATTCAACCCTAAACAAAATCTGAACTTTTTAAACAATAACCTAAAATTTTAAAAACAGCTTTTAAAGCCATTAAAATTAAAATGATTCTAAAAGACAGGAATTGACATTTAAATATGAGTAAACTAGGCAATCTAACAGCTATGGTCTGTCCTGTGAATAGGTCTGAGTCTCTTACTTACAGATCAATAGTGATCCATGACCTCCCTGGCTTTTCTGTCTCATATCATAATAATTGCTGGTGCAAACAAGAAATTACTGCGTAGATTTGTAATTTACCTTCCAGCACCAACGCACAAATTTTCCTAAACATTCTCTTCATGTTCTTGACCTTGATTTTTACATCATCTCTTCAATGTATTATAAAATGGTCGTAATTTATCAAAATAATTTAATCAAAAACATCTCAACGGAAAAATTTAATTGGAAGGGAAGATTGCGCTTTAGTGCCATGCCGCATTAACATTACTCAGCTTGAATTTAGTAAAATAAAAGTCAAATGGAACTATAAATATTGATTTTTCTTTTTCTTATTCTCCCCTTTAGATGGATTTCCAACGTTTCAGTCTGCGTTTCCTGAATGGTGTGAAGACGAACGCACAAATAACATGCAATCTAACTCAACGGAACAGCTTATGGGTCTCAGGTAAGTGACATGAACGATAGAAAAAGAAGTTAAATCATGAGAAACTTAAAAAGTCATTTTGCGATAACTATGACGCCACAGTGGAAAGAAAGGAACGACCTGTGAGCAAATCGATGAATATGTTAAAGAACTGAGTCTCGTGAAAGCTTTTTTGCCTTGTCTCAACCACACAGAAAATCTAATCAGATGGAAAATTGCATGCAAAAGTTATGTCGTGTGGAATTTTATTTAACCGACTTTGCCTTGACTTTTTACTTGGCTTCGTGGTTGATAAGATGAAAAATGTTTCTCTTCTTTTCTCTTCTTTTTTCCATGCCATTATGTGTGCGTGGGCTGCAGCAAAAAAAATAATATATATTTTTCGATGAAGCTTTTTTGCCTCTCACTCTCTCTCTCTCTCTCTTTCTCTTTGCCTTTTATAAGTAGTAATGGAATTTCTCTATCTATCCACCTTCAATCGTTAACTGTTTCTTGTGCGTATATTCACTCTATGGAGGTTGGAATTGCGTCATTCCAAAGACTTTGCCGAAAAAGATGAAAAAAAAAATCTTCAGCTTCTTAACATACACACGACTTTTAACTCAATTTCTTGCTTCCTCTTCACTCAAAAAAAAAATGTCAAAATGAATCATAACGATAAAAACTGTAATTAAATTACAAGCACAGAAGATTTAACAAGTAGGTGCTGACTCTTGTTGTGGAGGTGGGACAACAGAACAAATTCTTTTATCGTGTGGTCAGAGAGAACATGAAATTGAAGACGAAATTCCAAGAAAATGTTGCAAAATGCTATTGGGAATTTCAAGTCGTAGGATTCACTTTTACTGCTGCCGCACGTGTAATAACAAACTTCTGGCTGGGTTGATGTATGTCAAGAAGATATAGACTGAAGCCATTAAAAGATCTAGACGCGAGGAAACGAAATTTTTGTTGATAAATAAACTTAAACAAGAACAAATCTGGATTTGAGTGGAATCAAGAGTGTGCAACTGATTTACTGATTTTCAATCATTTTCATCATTTTTACACCCTTTCCTTTAACTCTTTACTATTGATCTTCTAAATTATATACATTTTTCTGGTTCCTTGACACTTCTGTTACTTATCATTCAAATCCTTAATTGGACAACACTCTTTTGGTCCGGCTATATTATACTCCTTGCAGCCATTGCTGTGCTGTCCACAAACCAGTAATAGTGGCAGATATAAAGTCTCTTAGTAAGCTTTAATGGATGCTTCACACAATTCGTGTTCTTCGGATTCTGTCTGTAACCTTGTACTAGATTTTTACATACCAGCTAACATTCCTGATTATCTCATACACACTCAAAGCTTGATAAAGATAAATTAAAACTTTTACCAAACTGCCACAACATGTCCAAATTCAGGACTCAAGAATGAATGAAAATTGCAAGACAAGTCACCTGTAAAAGGTTTATTGAGGAATTAATTTTTAATGCATTTGAACATTCACGGATGGACCGCATATAAAAAAAGTTAATTTTGTTACTCTTGGTCCAAAAGTTTTTGGATGGACTCAAAATTGAGCAAACATTGCTTGTGGTAAAAATAAATCTGTTGATAAAAAACTCGTGTCCATTCATGTTTTAGAACGAAAAGAAAAATTTGTGAAAAGGAAGCTCTAGAGATTCTCTATTGAATGAAAAATTGCCCATGTAACTTTTTCGAGAAAAATATTGACTTTCTCGAAACTTTTTTAATGGATTTCCAAAAAAATGAATAAAAAAAAATTAAAGATGCTTCACAAATTTTTATGTTTATGACAGAAGGCGGTTCCGAAACGTTTAAGGCTTCTTTGATAAACAAAATGAATGATTAAAAGAAAGGCTAAATTTAGAATGTTTTAAAAAATTAAACAGCCACTCTTTGCCAATTTGACGCTGAGTGACTTCTTCACAGAACTTTTTTTTTTGTTTTTATTTAATTTTCCAAGTTTAAAATTGTTTGAGTTATAAATAGCCGGAGTTTGAAAGCGAAATTGCCAATGCTTACACTTGTAGAGTCCTAAATAAACAAGCCTCGACTTACATATGCGAGAATTTGTGTTTAAAATTTTTGCTATTTGAATCTAAGAATGATGAAAAAGTTTACTAATTATAGTAAAATAAATACGAGATCTATTTATAAGATCTATTGTTGATTCTGTCTTACTTCATGCCTGGAAGTTTTATTTTTTTTAAGTTTTATGGCTTTTGTGTAGTTTAAGGAACTTAATTTAAAGTCTGGTGATTTTCTTGTACAGATTTTGCTTTGTTTTATTGAAATCAAAATTTTTCTTGGATGTAGATTGTTTACTGGATGTTTGAAACAAAATTTTTTAAAGATTCTTATGAAAAAGAAGTTGACATACTCTGTCAAGACTGCCAAACACCATTTTACTTTCACAGTAATTTGACTAGACTTCTATGTGACTTAATGTCGAAATTCTTATGTTTTTATCATCAAAAGATCAGACAACAGACTAAAAATTAGCAAGATAGTAGGTTTAATTCCCACCAGAAGCCCCAGTCCATCGTATAGACATCATCTTTAATAACATAAAAACTCTATTAAAGCCACAGAGCATTCCCTGTCCCTGACTATTGTTTTTTGCGTTTTTTTTGTTTTGCATTTTTCAACGGAAATGTTTAGAAAGAAAAATGCAAAAGAACGCGAGTTAAGCTTAAATTAAATTTTTTTATTAACAACGAAGCTTCTCCTTGACTTTGTGAATTTTTTTAAGCTCAAATAGAAAACACTAGCGTTTGGAAGGTCAGATCAATGCATGTAGGATTACTGATAAATTATCAGAAAACTGATAGCTAATCACCTACACGTGAGCTTGTCATAAAGGTTCAATTAATCAACAATAAGCTGAATTGTGAGCCAGAAATTAAACGTGAATCCCCAGTAGATTTACCGTCCTTAATTCCTTCAATAGTTATTCAATTCTAAATTTAATTCCTTGTAATACCTGAGCTACCGACTTGTTATGTATCCTTAAATATTACAAAAGATATCAAATGTTATATGAACGGATATCTTAATGATCACAAGGAACTTTCACCTGATATCGTAAGAATACTTTTGTATCCATTGAGCATGCGCATTTGTTGCTAGCAACTGACTTGTGGCACTTGATGGAGTTCGATTTGTAACACTTACAACTGCTTGATGAGAAACTTGTAGTCAGATATCCAAAAATGGAACATCCGTTTTCAAGCTAATTCCAATTACTAAAGTTAATTCTCACATACCAAAAGAAAAATGTTGTGAGTCACAATTTCCGACAAAGCGTGTAATTATCATTGAATTAGAGAAAAACTGAAAATCATCTTCAAAGTCCCCCAAAAAATACGTGGTGTCTATTTAGCATTTTTATTGCTCATTCGTTAAATAAAATAACAACAATACACAAATTGGTCTTACGGGTGACTCAAAAACGTGAGTGTTACTTAAATTTATAAACTTCATGTCAATTGGAGCTTACTAATAATAATACACATGCGAAAAAAAAGAAATAAAATATTTTTTTTACTCATTCATTCATTCAGTTTCTTTTCTTTCTCGTTCTCGTTCCCCTCACACTGTCTGTCTCTCTCACTATCTTCCTCGTTCATTCATGAAAAATCAAAATCAATGAAATGTTTTACGACTCAAAAATAGAGTTATATTATTTTTTTTTTTGAATGATATACTTTACGTGAATATGTATATATGTCTTCTACGCCGTCTCAGTATAAATAAACTCTTTTCTTTTCGTATGTGGGTGAATGAATATAGCAAGTGAAAAATGAAGTTTGTCTTTCTCTTTACATGTTCCCGTACGATAGGTAACACACATGGATGCCAAAGAATGTCAAACAGAATTAATTCTTCAATATCACTCTACAATATTATTATTGTTATTGAAAGATTTCTACTTTTTTGCTGTCTGTTTTATTCAATATGCATGTGGGTGGCATGGAATGGTATACATGTAACTTTATTTCAATTTTGGATATTGAAAGAGTAGCGATCTGCAGGGATGGAGTGGACGTTGGATTACGTAATTTAGGAAAAGCTTTAGTCTGGTCTGAGGACGTGCTCTAGCTTAAATTTTAGATACACAAAGTGTCAAATCGGACCTAAATCCACTGTATAAAAGGACTAGATTCCTTTAGGTTTCTTGATAGGCTTGATAGACCACATTGCTTGCTTTGTAACTGCAAGTGCAAAGCTGCTCTATCGCCAAATGACGTTCCATGGCAGACAGACAAGCTTAGTCACAGAGAAGCACCACATCACTTGTTAATTTGAACTTATTTTTTCCTTTGGCTCTCAAGCTACACCCCTGAAAATCTATAAGAAAAAACAAAAGATACAATAATCATTTAAATATAGCGTGCCATTGAAAAACGTGCATCGCCGACGAGTGAGTGACCAGTTATAGACAGATGCTAATTTATAGTAAAATTAGCTTAAATTACTAACATTTTCGTCGTCTTGTTTGTGTTCATTCGAGATTTAAGTTTACTTTAAACGAAAGCATTTCTATAGGAACCGAGCACAAAAAGAAAAGCTGAATGAAAAAAAAAATTAAATAAAATTGCTTCAGATTTCTCGCATCCTTGTAATTCTACTTTCTCTCATGCTCAATCTCTCGTTTTTCTTTCTAAGAAGAGTGGTTGGAAATATATATTTTTCTCTGTGTAGGCGTCATGATACACAGCGAGTAGGTTTGGGGATTCTTTTCATTGTGTAAAATTTTCATTTCACTTTTTTTCTTGCTCCATTCCACCCGAAAGCATCCCACCACCTCGGCATTTTCCACCCGAAAAAACAAAAATCTTTTTTTATTCTACTGTCTGTGCGTGGGTGACTGTTTCATGGCAAAAAGTATATATACGCACTTTCATTTCAACCAATCATCCTACCCTCGATGATACACACACTCAATATTGTCATACAATCTCTACAGCAATTGCTACATTTTTCTGAGCTTTTTAAAGATAAAAAAAAAGATTTTTTTTTGGCTGTTCAAGAGATGAGAAGATAATTAATGCTATGGAATTTTGATAACCAAAACACTTTTTGATTTGGAATTGAAATTTATTTCAACAATGCTCTCTCGCCCACATATAAACAACTCTCGAGAGTTGAGTTTGTTTGATTCGAATACTTGGTACAATAAAGTTGAATTTTTTTTTTGGCGAACATTTAGTTGATTCTTGGGATTTTACTTGTTTTATGGTTTTAAAACAAGGTTAAGATTTGTTTTTGAAAGCTTTAGTGGATATTAAAAAAGATCAAACAGTTTAGAGAGAATCTAGGTCGTTTAAGAAGAGATTTATTTCAATTTACTCGGGATGTTCAAAATTAAATAACGATTATTTGATAATTAAATTGTATTTACAACTTCACTCTGTTGACTACGACGTTTGTTGATATCTCATCCTAATACTGGGGGTCCTCGATTTGAGTAGGTGTTTTGTTCCTATTCCTATTCCTAGAAAAATCCTATTCAAATCGAATCTACTTAAATCGAATTATTTATTGTCTGAAAAATGTCCGTTGCAAAAAAAATTTTAAATTTTCTATTCATTAATTTTCGTTACTCAAATCGAGGATTGGACGATGGCTGTTTGTCTGGATCAGATAAATTCTGAGACAGAAATTTCTTCATAAAGATCGATTCTGTATGAAGAAAGAAAATCTAATCTACACAAAGATTATTTCTACATAAAGAATCTGTCTACATAAAGATTCGATGTAGATGTCTACAATTCTACATTCTTCTCTGATGTAGAGCTGGAAAAAATGTAGAATTGTAGACATCTACATCGAATCTTTATGTAGACAGAATCTTTATGTAGAAATAATCTTTGTGTAGATTAGATTTTCTATCTTTATATAGAATCGATCTTTATGAAGAAAGTTTCTTAGCTAGACAAAAACTATTGGAGAATCTACATTCTTCATCTAGTGTAGACATCTACATTTGCAACACTGATGCTAAATCCAGCCAAAAAGAGCATGAATTTTTTTAAATTTTAAGTTTTCAAAATCTATTGGTTAATAAAATTCCAAAATAAAAGAAAAACATGATCATTACTGGGTATCATATCATAAATTAAACTACAAATAGACAGTCAAAAACCATATTTCATACTACAGTTTTAAATGCTTTGAATTATTATCAAAAGTTTCAATAAACTCAGTTTAAAATTTTGTTTATGTAAATATTCGATAAAATGGAATTAAATCCACCTTAAGACATTGAACCATGATTTCTGCATGACTTAAAGTTTTGATTTCAATTCAATTAGTATTTTATTAAGAAAGTTCAGTTTAATTTCCATAAAATTCAATTAATTCCAAAGAATTTAGAGTATATACAATTAGTGAGTTAAAGTATTTAAATAATCTGTTCATTGGAACCTAAATAGCCAAATTTATGAAGAAATTGATTCAAAAGATTAAAACCCAAAAAATCCCAATTTCTTTATTGATACAAGTCAAAATGCGTCATCTTGCCTTTACACTTAACAAAGATGGAAGTTACTAAATTGAAAAACATTTCCAAAAAGAAATATAATATATTAGAAATGTGTAAACAACATTTTTTTTGCTTTAAAGCTTTCAGCAACAGAGGATTATTTTTAGATTTTCGAAAGATTATTTTCTAAATTTAGAGAACAAAACAAACAAATGGAAAATCCTTTCCTTTTTGAACCACAATTTCGATTGCTTCCATACGGCCATTAAGCACGAATAGTAAATCGTCAAATTTATTTCAATTGAGATATCTTTTGTGAACGGATAAAATGCAGACAATGACGCCATTCTTGCTGTAGAATGGGCGATGGAAAAAAATAAATAAAAATTATTAATTCATCAAAACACGTGAATTGACATCAATTTTTCTTGTGCCTTTTATGAAAGGAAGTGACTTGCATTTTTAAAAGTCTTTATGTCTCTCCTCTGCCCATTATCCATTTAAATATATTTATTTCTTTTAAATTAAACAAGAAAAGTCAATTTATTGGTTTGCAAAATAAGCGATTGTCTTTGACTGCATAAATCTGATGACTTTTTGAGCTGGGTTTGTGTATGGGAGTAGTCAGGGTATTCATAAGTGACTTCATTATTAACTAGATTTAACTTCATATAAGGTATCTGGACTAGTCTATCTCTGCTGAAGTGGCATAGACCTTTCTTGACGCTTCTTAAACATTTACAATGCAGCTTCAACCCCACTCGAGAGCCCAAACACCCTCCTTTTTTTAAAACAACAACTACACCCCTGTCTTCATGAGACAACATGTGTGGGAAAATAATTTAAAGCTTCACTGTATTGTTATTATTAGGCAGTCTAGCATTTGCTTCTCCTATAATCACTGCTAGATATCCAAGCATTAGCATTAGAATTTTGATATACTTAAATATTCATCTCCTTTAACAAGAAAGCGCGTGCATTAATGCCATTAAACAAAAAAAAAGAAAATGAAACAGCACACGAGCAAAAAGACACTAAGATATAGAAAATTCGTTTATCATGAATCAGTCGGGTAAGCGGGCGGTCGATGACGTAAAATGTTTAGCAAGAATTTTGCTTTTCTTTTTCTTTCGTTGGAAACGAAGGAGATGATGATGAGGAGAAAATATTGAAAGGTTGCGAGGGAGTAAGGATGTTATTTTCGGTAACTATGTGCTTTCTTCTCTCATTCCATCTCCAAAGCCCTCGGAAACATTAAGCATTCTCTTTTCTTTCAATAAATTTATTTTCTGACATTGAAAACTGCCGTTTTTGTTTGATGTTATTTTTTGATGGGAAGTGATATAAATATCTTTCGATTCTATGCTATGCTGTGTGTGTGTATGCTCTAGATGTATCCATATTTTATTGTTGTTGAAATGTTGTGCGTTGGATGGGATGGATGGTAAATATATCCGGTCTAACAAATCGTCAACCGGAAGAAATGAACATTGACAATGGACGAGTAGTATGGAATTTACTGATTTTTTTTTAAATTTATTTATTTCAAAACGTACAAAAATAAAATACATAAAATGTGTGTGAGAGAGATGGAGAGACAATCAGAAACCGGATGGAACTGAAATAACAAAAGAATGAATGAATTGTCTTGGGACGGTTTATTATTGTTAAGTCGGATTTCAATTGTTATTTTTATTCATGCTTCCATCTTTTCTTGGAAACTACTTTTAATGCTGTTCCTTCTGTCGCACTCACTCTTTTTACTCTCTGTGTGCGTGGAATTTCTCATAAATTATAATTGTCCATAAAAAAAATTATTTTAAATAAAATCATGAGAAATTCCGGTCTGCCCACAAAACGGAGTAGAACTTGAATATGCGATGTGTGAAAACTGATTGAATAAGAGAGACTTGATATAATGCTGTTTTTTACATATTCATTACTTACTACCAACATAAATACACTTTTTTGCATCTTAGCACATTTTTCCATAGGCATGCAATTTAAAACTCACTGATTAGTCATTAACATGTGAATGTCGACGTGTTGATCGAGTTTACTGACTCGACATAGATATTGGGAAATGTTACAGCTTTGCAACTTCCTCCAAACTTTGATTTTTAATTCGTGAATATAAAAAAATACTTTTAAAATTCAACACGTGGAACAAATCACATTTCAAAAACAGATGCTGGGGGATTTAATGTGATTCGCGGGAATTAAAAGGTGCATCAGATTTATTAAGTATGATTTCATTGCATGTAGTCTGAGAAAAATTAAAGAATAGGTTTTGGGAACATGAAGTTAAAATTAACGTAAATGATTAAAATATCACGTCCTCCTAGACATAGATGATTCCAAGGAAAACTGGAGCATCCCAAAACCGTCAGGGTATTAGCAATAACTGTCTAAGCTTAACAACAAGTCATTTTAGGCACTTTTAAATAACCTAGGCATTATACAATCCAAATTGTCATCTCCAACCCAAATCCCATCGATAAGCTATGTGAAGGTTTTATGCTGGACACACGGTATTGCCTCCTGCCAACTGCGTTGAGTTACAATAGTGTCATGATCTCAATATGACCACTGTATTGCCTAATACCTGCAACATGCCAATCACCGTTGCAAATTGTCGCTCTGATAAATATTCACATTTTTGAACCTAAGATCATTCCTTGTTTTACATACAGACAGATTCCAGTTATATGGACATAGAAAATTTCAATCGATATCTCATTCACAAGATAAATCCTGTAAAAAATCGATAAAATATTGTCAACATAAACTACAAGCTGCTATTGTCTCTATAATTCCACGTATAATGTCTAGTCAGCGCCACACAAAACAAAAATCGTATTTTGCGCTTAAGTCAACAAGTGCACAAGAGTAGTCTAAATTCTTACTCCTCCATTCATTCAGTTTTGCAAGAAAACAACTGTTCATAGTAGTTTTACTGCATGCATTTTTCTCATGATGTAACTCCATTCATTCATTCATTATTCCGCTTCATTCATATAATATTTTTCATCCATGTACATGCATAATAATTCCATTCATTCATTCATTCTCTTTTTTTTATCGCTCATTACAGATCATTACGAATTTCAACGCCCTTATCAGATTCAGCATGCAGCAGCTCAACAGAGTCATCGGATAATGAAAGTGCATCAAATTATCCATTAGAGCCGTATGGCGGTGAGCCAATTGAAATATTACCGGGATTATTCTTGGGTAATGCAGCACACAGTGAAGATTTGACGAAATTACAAAAATACAATATTCGATACATCCTCAATGTATCGACATTGCCTAATGTATTTCAAGATACAGGAAAAGTAGAATATCTTCAAATTCCTATAACAGATCATTGGTCTCAAGACTTAAGTATACATTTTCCTTCTGCCATAAAATTTATTGAAGAAGCCAAAGCAAAGAATGTCTCGTGTTTGGTACATTGTCTAGCCGGTGTTAGCAGGGTAAGCATTACTGCCTCTAATATATGATTTCATTTTAATATTAATTATTATTTTCATGACATTTGCAGTCGGTTACAATTACACTTGCGTATCTAATGTATGCCAAAGATTTAGGATTGAATGAAGCATTTACTTTTGTTCGTGCACGAAAACCTGACATTTCACCGAATTTTCACTTCATGGAGCAACTCTATACGTTTGAGCGTCAATTAAAGAACGATCCAAATAGAAGAATGAATGTGACATCAGCTTCATCGTCAGCAACAACACCTTCATCATTCGATCAGAGTAATACGCCATCGTCAGCCACATCATCCGTGTCATCGTCAATGAGAGATAATCGATCCATGAGATATCGACAAATTAAATATTCATGTGCATGTAATGAATGTGAATGCAAATGTATGCAACAAGAGTTTCTACTTGAGCCAATGTCTCATATGTCTCATATAGGTGTATCACCTGATTCAGGTAGGCTTTCGAATTTATTATTTTTTTTATTGCCTTATTCCTCTATTTTTGGTCATTAATACTTTTATTTCATTGAATATTATGGCACACTCATAAAAATCATCTCTTCTCAATCTCTTTTCAGGTATTGAATTTGATCTTCGTCAGAATTGGACACCCTCAGATAATAACACAACGCCCAAATGAAATGAATTTTGAGGACACTTTTTAGAAATTTTATGTTAGATTTTTATGATCATGAAGCAAATTTACTCGAGCAGCAAAGACTTGTGACAATGAACACTTTGTGGATTGAAACCAACATTTAGCAGTTAATCAAATTGAATTAAATTTTTTAGACAGAAAGTTGTTGGGTTGGATTTTGAGGGCTTAAAGTTGGGAAGATGCAGTATTATTAGACAGAACAATTAGAGTAGGATAAAAATGGTCTTAGAATCTCGTTTGGACTTTAATCAAGTTTGAGTATATTTGAGGAACAATTTAAATGACTTTGAAGAGTTTGTAATTTTAGATGCAGAAGGTACATAACCAAAATTCTTTATATCTCATCCAAAAATACCTTATTAATGGTACTTTAAAAATAAATCTGATTATTTTTGTTCCTTACAATCTGCTCAAAGTATTTTCCAGAACATGACACAATAATCCAACATAATTGGTGTTCCTTTATTTTTAAATATTATCAAATTTATATCTGTAGCATCCTCGAAACTGCTATAAATAAACTATAATTTTATGTCTTATGGCATAATTAAATCAGCCTGAAATGGTCCATAAGTATTAAGTTTTGCGAGAGTTAGAATAAGTTAAAATAAACATCAATGAGATTCCAATTTCCAATATAAAGAAAGACATTTGATGCCAGTTCCGAACAGAAGAAATTTGACTAAAGCCTTTGAAATCCAACTGAATAAAATTTTCAAATTCCAATATTTTGACTACCTTTTAAAGCTACAAAGCAGCAAAAAGACGACATCTTAGAAAATAGATAAACAAGTTTGTGCTGGTCGGGTTTGAATTTGCTTATTTCCCCCGCTCTTTTTATGGTAAACGGATGAATATTTGTCCAGAAAAAAAAGTATATAATTAATAATAATAGAAAAATGAATTTTAAATGACATTTTAAAAAAATGATAAAAAGTAATTAAAAAGTTGTGGATTAATATGAGTAATGAACAAAAAAAAATATAATTATATTATTGACACACATACATATGATGTATCTTGTTTCCTTTTTTTTTTAATTTTTGTTTTTATTTCAACGTGGCCATCATCAAAAGTGATACTCGCCTAATAATCATGTTCTAATGTAAATGACGCAAAAAATAAATTTTTTTTTATTACTTTCAAACAATTTTTTTTTTGACATAAAGGAATTAATAAAAAGGAAATGGAATTTCCTTTATAAAATTTTTATTATTATTGCTATTATTATTTCATAAATGAGAATGTGATGGATGAGTACAAAAAAAAACATATAAAAAACATTTTTTATATGAATGAGAAAATGAAATTTGTTTTTAGAAGAAGAAGAGATTGATATGTAGGAATGACGAAATATGTAGACGAGTATGTAGGTTTTTTTAAGCGAGAAGAGATTATGAGAACGAGAAAGGATTTTTTGTCCAAAAATCTATTTACATTACATAAAATATAATGGTACATATATATTTCCTACCCAACCCATACCCTCAAACTCTTTCTCTCTTTATGAATCATATATGCAGAACATACCGTGAAAAAAAATATTATGATCGTCCAATAACGACATTGTCAGAGTCAGTCAGGGTTGTTTACTGAGTTGATTGACTTAAAGAGTTCTTGTGAAACTTAGTCTTGGTGTCACTTGAGCACAGGGGGTCCTTGATTTGAATAAGTGTAAACTCGTATTCAAATCATGGATCCTCTTTAAATACCTTCCAGCCTTACGAACTATAAGAAGAAATTATAATTTAGCAAGCACTTAGCTGGTCAGAACTGCTATAAACTTGTTTAAAACCAACTTCTATGATGACCTGGCTGCTAGAGAAGCATGTAACATGTAAACTGTAAACATTGCCTGACAGGATCACAAGATCACAAGTTAAATCATCCGTCTAGATAGATTAGCTAGTAAAGTAGTTCTAAAGATGATCCTGAACAATTTATTTATGTTCAAAACTCGATGAAGATTCAAATTGTGATGCCTCTATTGCTAGGCATTTATCAGATCAACTGTTCTGATGTCCAGCTAAGTGAACTGTCCATCTAGAATAACTAGTTTGGTTTCAGAACTGTATTGAAGTTCTGTATTTGAAGAATTGTCTGCAGTTTTGGTTCAATGTGATTCAAAGTTTGAATTTGAACTTCAATTAACTTTCTTTAAGCTTATTTGGCTGATTATAGTCAGCTATTGATGTTCTTAAGTTGAGCTTAGAGTTTACTCAGGTTTTCCTGAATTTTACATGCGAAAATCGAGTTGACTTCAAGATTTGCTTGTTTAAAACAGTGTTGTCCACACCTTAGTGATAAGTCAAGACCAAAGTCGTACATAGCATGCGAATTCTGTCATTTTCAAAAAATTTCTACGACACACAGTTTGGACAATTGCCTAGACCAGAATCAGAACAGTTATCAACCCTGGCTTCATCCAAAAATGTCATTAATGGTTGGGCTTAAAAAGTATTTAAATTGAGTATCATCAAAAAATCATTGTTTTAAGTGTTGTTGGAGAAAGCTTTTTCGATTTTTTTTTTTTTCCGAGAGAATACACACATAAAAGATATGTATGAAGTGCGTCATATAAAAATTTTTACGCATTTCAGCCCACATGTTATAATCTCAAAGCATAAATAAATTCAAAAAAAAAACCAAAATATTTGTATAGAGGAAAAAAATATGTATAAAAATTCAGGTGAATAACTTTGATGTTTAAAAAAAATGAAGAAAAAAAAACAGTTTTATCTCAAGAATCTACATGTTATCGGTCAGAATGTCTCATGAAATATTTTTGTTAAAATGTCAAAAGTGAAGGATATAAAAAAAAAGATTCATTTCGAGTCGCGCAAATCAATCAAATTAATTTTTTTATTAGCTTTGAAGCAGCACAAAAACATGCGTGTGTCTTTAATGTGAGATCACTGATTTATAGTTTGTGAAAAAAAATTTTAGAAAAAAAAAATCAAAACCAGGATTAAAATCTAAGAATTTTATTGCATTTTTCCCGATATTATGGAAAATTGTTTTGGAACCAGCATAAAGCTATGATTATTGTCGTTAAATAATAATAAAAACATATAAATTAGATTAAACATAAAACAGATCAGACTGTAAGCATGTTGAGTGAATATGCGAAGCGTTGTCGCATTCAGGAAGAATAAACATGCCACTTACATGCTACTCGATTAGTTATTAACATGCGTTTGCATACTATAGTCGCATTTTTGAAGTAGCATGGGCTTTGAATGTTTTTAATGAATCAAAATTTGAGAATTCTTTGAAATTGAGTCCATAGATCAAACAGAAGCAATTACTTGAAATTCTATGCTACATGATTCAAAGGAAATTTTAAACATTTGTTGATAATTTTGTGAATACTTAAAAACAGTGGTGGACAACGATTTTTGAGCCACGTTACACCTTGGTGGTGAACCATACACATCATACAGTTCGTGGGATTTCTCAAATTTTTTCTTTGCACATGAGTTGGCCATCACTGCTTTTAAAGTATGGATATGGCAAGAATATGGTGTAATAGTGCTTCCGAACAGGATGTCCCACAAATTCAAGCACAAACTGAAACTTCTTTTAAATAAAATTAAAGTTTACAACACAATGATTTGTGCAATTATTGTTTAACTTTAAAGACAGCTAAGGGGCCGTTCACTTATGACGTCCAGGGGGGGGGGGGGGGGGTCAGCAAGAAAAGAACAATAGAAATTACTGGAAATCTATTGTTCTTTTTTGAAAAATGACCGTTAATTTCGGACGTCATAAGTGAACATTCCCTAAAGGTATTAAGATAAAATTGGCCCTTAAGCTTTGACATTTGCCACACAAATTGATCGAATGTAAACTACAAAAGACTACAAACTTTTTATTTGACTCTGAAAATTCTTCCATCCAACATTTAAAAGTGAATGCAGATAACGACTTATTTTACTGAAGTCAACACACATTTTTGGTAAAAGCTGAGAACCTTCTTTTTATGGTATGAATCAAAAGTTTTGAATATTGTCAGAATGCTCAAAAAATGCCAATTAAAATTTAAAAAAATAGAAATTAGCAAACAAAACTGTTTAAAGTGAAAAAAATCTTTACACTTGATACTATAATTAATCCATATGACATTTATGTCTACCTTAAATAACAACCCATCAATAATAATATTTGTCATTTTTGTCCTGAGAACCATAAAAGATTGTATTTGTCATAAATCAGCTACAAATCAGTGATTTCGTCTTAATAAAACACAAAAAAGAAAAAATTCTGTCGATCGTAACAAAATAGATGCTAAAATTAACTCAATCAATAGACACAAAATAAAAGAAAAGAGAAATAAACCAGATAAAAATAATCTATTTACAATATATGAGAAATGGTCATAAATTAGAATAATGGACATACCTATTTTTTTATCAAGCAAAAAGTGAAAAATGTTTATCTCAAATTAATGCCCAATAAATAATAAAATAATATTTTGTTTCCATTAAAGAGCAAATTCGTATTAATTGTCGGAAAAAAATAGTAAAAGTGAAAAAAATAGTTAATATCTATTAAAACACACACGTAACTTCCAATTAAATTCAAAGATAATTAAAATTTGAATATTCCGGAAACTTTCAGGAGAAAAAAAAGTGAAATTAAGTATGAAACATTTTTACAATGAAACGGATTAAATGAAAAAAATAAATTATAAACTAATGCAAAAAAAAACTAATGTTAATGTTTTAAAAATGCCAATAATTCCTCTCCAAAAACATCCGAAAAAAATGAAATAAAGATTGATAAGGTTGTCAACTTTATTAGTATAAAATTATTTTTGTTTTATTTTTCAAATTTCAGACAATTTCAAAAAAGTTTCAGAAAAAACTACGAAAAACTTGGTTTTTACTGGATTTGATTTGAGTCCAGCACCATGCAAGAGTTATGCCAGCTTGTTCTATTCGGGTTTTATTCTCTAATTGAAATAAGTCATCAAACTTAATGAATTCAAACTTAACTTAAATCTTCAATATTGTTTTTTCCTTCCTCCACTGACTTATCCTTTGCCTAATGCTAGCTGTATCGCCTGCAACTCTGTTGTTGGATTGGCAATAAAAATCCTGTTGTTAAAGGCATTACTATTAACATCTAAAATGATAATCAAGCACTGGCAACTGATCAATCGTGTTTTAATATTTTTTTGATTAGTTCTACGCCCTTAATTGTTCAAAAATAACATCTAGAGTTGATAATCCTAAGCATGAGACTCGCGGTAAAATTAGATATATGTGTAAGATTGATAGCCGAAGTAAGATAAGGACCTCAGTGGCCAAGTGGCAGAGATCTCTAATCGAGCAATCAGAAATCACCTCTTTTGAAGTTGTGAGTTCGATTCTCATCAAACCCGACTTGTTTTGCAGTAGTAATCACAAACAGTAGTTGTAGGGATATCAAAAATGGTAGTTTCGATGTCCATAGTCATGCAAGTAAGTTCATTGCCAAACTATATATCTTGACTATTGTTAAGGTCCTTTTTAAAACCAACACAAACCCCATTTCATTATCAAATTAAACTTCTTTTTCAATAAAATATCATAATCAAGTGTACAACAAAGAAGCATAGATTCAATAAAACTGTGTAGGCATGCAATTATCCAAAGAATGAATCTACAGCGTTGGAGTCAATTAGGCGTGGATGTTGATATTGTGGAAAATCCCACAACCAAATTCCCAGAGTAAAACGTCGTAATTTTCCTCAGTGTAATTAGAAATTTTCCACAGAATTTAGGTCAAACCTGAAAATGATGCTGAAAAGGTTAAGAAGAAGGATGGAACTGCCATTAAGTAAGTACACAAAAGTAATATTTTTTTTTAAATTTATATTTTTATATTTTTTTCTCAATTCTTCTCATTGTTAGAACATTAAATCAATTTTTTATCATCCAATTATTCTAAATATGCCTGCCTTATCATCTTTTTTTTATGTTTATCTTATGCATGGTAAACATGTGTGTAACATCCTAGACATTATCATTATTAATATATTTTAATTAATATAAACGACATATTCTTTGTGAAAAAAAAAAATTAAAAACAAAAAATGTTTGCAAACATAAGTCAGATAATAATAAGAAAATTATGAAAAGTTCAATTGGAACTTTATAAGGAGGAGGGGAGGTGGAGAAGGGAAACAAATTCAAAAATGGGCGGGAAAATTTTTGCATTCATTTTTTTTTTTTATTCAAAAATTGTGTCTGAAGGAGATACATATAATAATTAATATTTAATATACTTAAGGTAACTGTACCGTTCTTTTCATTTAATATTTTTTCATCTAGAATTTGCAATAATCATTATCAGTTATCAGTACTTAAAGTGTTTAGGTTTATACTCTCTTAAGTTTATAAAAAAAAATGATAATTAATTTCAGCTTACACGTATATACTTTATAAATTTTTTTTTCATTAATTAATTTTGGTGTGAGAAGCTTTCGACAGTCAATATATCTGGCCATAAATGAGCATCCATAGGCCAAAAATATTATATAATCATAATAATAATATTTTTGTAGGTATTTTTCTTTATATTCAAAATCTACGCATCGTATTTCTTTTATTAAAATTTTATAAGATGCATTTTAGCGCGTCTTTCACGACTTGTTACTTTTCTTAGTTTATTTTCATCCAAACGAAAAATTTTGAAATTATTAAAACTAATACAAACGAAATTTAAATTTAAAAATGTTATTTTTTGTAGAAATTTGCTGTGTTGAGGCTTCTTTTTGGTGACAGAAGTGCTTTTAAATTTAGGTTTAAATAAATTAGATCCTTTTTATTTTTCTAAAATAATTTAGGCTTGTCTATAAAAGTCTTTAGTTTGAATCAGTTATTCTTGAAAAATTTCTAGGGATTATTCTTAATGCTAAAATTCAATTTTGTAAAATTTTAAACTTTTAAACTTTTTACAAGGATTTAAAAATCATTCATTTTTTTCTTCAAAATTCAATTTCTTAAAGAAAGTTTCCCAAAAGTCTCGAAATAAATTTCATTAGAGTCCTGAAACACATTTATAAATACTTTCAATTAATCATATTTTACCAAAATTTTAGAAAATTCGTTCAAATTTTATAAATGCAGTATAATTTTATTAGTAATTAGTTTTAATAATTTAGTCCGAATAATTAATATGTTTCTGTCACTCAAAAGACAGCTCTACACAGCTATATAGAAATAAATTGTTGTTAAAATTATTATCGAAAAATCACATTCATCAATGGCTAAAAAATCATAAATGTTTAAATTTAATTTAAAAAAAAATCTTGCAAATGCAAACAAACAATTTAGGAGCTTCTTAATGCTACAAATTGTTTTTCATAAATTTTTATTTTTTTATACAAATTTTTTCCTGCAAGAGGTCACGAAAAAAATCTCTATCGAAAAATTTTTCCCACTTTTGAGCATCTTGCAAGAGGAACCGAACAAAGTTTGGTGGTTTTTTCATTATCAGCAATCATGGACAACAATGATATATGCAAAGATGAATGAATAATATCAAAACATGCTTACGCGCCATCATGCAATCCATGAATAATGTACATTTTTTAACACTATGCAGAATTAATTTCATCTTCTTTAATTATGACTAAGAGCACCATTTAATTTTTATACTTTATATTACTATCCTCATTTTTTTTTTGTTTTGCAATTTTTATTTTCTCGTTTTCCTTATTAATTATTTAATTAATAGACTTGATAGCTTAAAATTTAATCATTTTATTAAATTTTTTCTTTCTTTTTGGTTTTGAAACACAGTTGCGAACTTATAAATTCTTTTTGATTTGAATTCTTTGATTTTGATTGTGATTTGAGAGTTGGATTTGAGAACTTTTTAACTTTTTGGTTTGGAACTTTGTGATTTTGAGTTCTGCTGGATGCTTGTAGCACATGAGGTTTCAAACTTTATTAGGCTTTCTATTTAGGATTGCTTATTAAGTTCTTGAACCAAAAAGGAAACTTTGTGAAAATTCCAAAAATTTTGATCAAATCAAATTGAATCGATTTAAAAATGTTCAAAGTTAATTCAAAATTGATCAAAAATGAACAAAATGATTATAAATGATTAAAAAATGATTTAAAATGAACAGAATGATTCAAAAATTAACAAAATGAATCAAAAATGAACAAAATGAATCAAAACTTTTTCAGAAATGATCAAAATGAATCAGAATTGAAAACAAATAATCAATAATGATTCAAAATTGAAGAATTCCTAATGATAAATTTAAAGAACTTAAACATTTCATTGACAACCACAAACAAGATTCTTATTCCAAATCCAATTATATCATCGAATTCAATATCCAAACTTAAATCTTAATCCTCATCTCACTCTCAATCCTCATCCAATCCAAGAAAAGACAAACAAAAAGAAGAAAAAAAAACTTAAAATAGTTCGCAATAATAAGTCATCTACAAAATAATTAAAATTATGACAAAAAATGGTTTTTTATATCTGACATACTTTTAAAGTCACGAACAGCTAATTGTTATCTGTTAACTTAAAAAACTGACATTTTTTCAATTTCTAATTTGTATATTTTTGCTTTTAGGTTCACGTGAAAATTTTTTTATTTGCATTAAAAGGCGTGGAAAAATGTAGGAAGGAAAATTTTCAATGAGTTCAATGAGCTTTTCATGGCAAAAAGTTTGTTTAATTGATTTGTATCGAATTATTGAGTTTGATTTTGTTTGTTTGCAGTAGGAACGATAATATTGTTTTTATTAGCAACTTCAAGTTCCGTGATTGTTTTTGAATCAAAAATTTTAATTTTAGGAAGTCTTATGAAGCCATTCCTTTTTTTAGATTGTAAAGTTTATTGTTTTATGTCGGAACTTATTTAAAATTTTCGCACGTTTTATTTTGATCATGTAAGTAGTTTATGTAATTTTATGGTAGCTACGGAAATTTGATGATTTATTTCAGATATTTTTGATATCAGAAATGCCTCAACGTGTGACAATAAAAGTACAGGGTGACCACAAATGGTGAATTTTAGATCTGTTACTTTGGTATCTTAAAGATTTGTGTGTCCTCTTCAAGCTACAAACAAATTATTCAAAGCAAGGACATCCTAGAAACTTGAAAATTTAAGCTCAAAAAATTTAATTTTTCACCCAAGGAAAGTCAATGCTTTCACACATTTCCTTCATAATTTGGATCATTTCGTGCACAAATTTCGTGATTTTCATAGAAAAACTTTCAAATTCCTGAAAAAGTTCCCATAAATTTTAATGCAATTTTAATGCTAAAATCGTGGCATTTTCCATTAAACAGAACTATTTTCGTTGAAATATGTCAAGCAGTAAGTTTATTGCTGCCAAAATTCTCATTAAATAAATTCCTTGAATTTCCACAAATATTAATTTAAAAAAATTATAGCCAAAGAGAGAATCAAAGCATATTTTAGTAATACTATAAGTAAGCCTTATTGAAGAAAAAATGTCAGATTATTATTAAAATTATTAATTTTATTCTGTTTCATTACAAAAATTTCATTCTCGATGCTCAAGTATCAAAAAAGAGATTTTCTTGACGAGAATTTCTTTGTCATTGATTAAGCATTTATGGCAGTGAAGTTGCTGGTATTTGCTTCATTTTCAATGTTTTTTTTTATACACAGAATCTTATTATTATTATCAGTACTTATTTTGTATATTTAAAACTAGAAGGAAATTTGAAGAAAAATAAATCAAAAAAATTCGTTCATGTTTTGTAGCTTTTTTTTTTTCGAGGGATCGTTCAACATTTTTGTTTTTGAATTTAAAGCCTGTTTTGAGGAAAAATCATTATTTTCGATTAAAATCGCGTAATACGTCATTTAAAATTCAAATAATAAAGTAATTTTGATCAAAATTAGCTTTAAATTCAAGAGGAAAAATTTTGAACCCCCCTTAATTTTTTTAAGAAAAACTTTACACATTAGTGAATAAACCCACAATGAATGTATGCTTCTTTTTTTAAGGGAGGATAAACTAGCTATATTATGTCCTTATAATATTATAATATTTCCACTAGGTAGGTGCAAAATGCTACAATTAATAAAACATTTTACTCTTTTTTTTCGACATTCATACTTATCATCAAATCATAGTTTCACGATGCATTTTTAATGTTCTATGTCTTTGGACTTTTTGTTTTTTTATCTTTTATTATTTAGTGACGAAAAAACTATTTTTTTGTTTAGTAGATTAGGTCAAATAATTAATATGTTTATCCCTGATTTTTTAATGAATAAACAATCAGTTTCCTTAAAATGGCAGTGATGTTTTCAGTAATTAAATTGCCTTCAATTGTGTTATTAGTCTGTTTTGGCATTTTCATTTTTCGACATCAAATTTCTTTTTAATTATAGTTATCTTCAACAACATATTGGTAACTTACTATACATAATTATGCTATAATATACTTTTAAATCTTCAAATAAAATTAAATTAATTAATTATCAATAAACAAATAAAGAAAAAACTGAATTTCCTTTATGTAGGTTTTACTCAATAACACAAAGAAGACATAAATTTGTAAAAGAATGACGTAAAAATGTACATATTTATTACTATAAGTTAAATTAATAGGAAATAGCCTCTCTAATAAAAATTTGATTTATTTTGATTTACAAAAGTGCACATTCTACTCATAAAAATTAAAGCGTGGATCAAAAAAGACATGTTGGAGTTGGTAATCTATTTGAGTCATGCTGTATAGTTTTAAGAGGGCATAATAAATTTATCGATCATTTATGGAGGCAGAGAATAAATTAAATCTAGTGATTTATTAGGTTATGACTAGTAAATGTTTAAAATTGTAATAAAGTCCCTTCCTCCAAAGCAGTCCTGTTCAAACTGCTTAGACCAGTAGTTCTCAATCTGTATGCCACGGCACACTGGTAGGTTAATCCAATTTACTGTCGTTGTAAACGTTTCGTGACACATCTGAATTCCCAGAATGTCGTGGAACATAGTTTAAGTAGCACTGTTCCAAATAATCAACTTAGGTATTGTTAAATGTGATTTTGAAATTATAGAATTAAGATAAAATTTTCTTAATAGAAAATTGTCTCTTGTTCTTAATATAGTCATTGAAATGTTGTTAAATCTATATGCAGTTTAGGGTTGGCATCTTGATGAAAATATTAGAATCCTAGAAAAATCCTATTATATGCTTCCATATCTGAGCAATACTGCAAAGTCATCACTAGGTTGTTTGAAAGATTGCTCTGATAACTGCAGAGATCTTTAGAAACTCAACAGTCTTTAAAGATGATTTAAAGGCTTGACCTTAGATTATACCCCCGCCATACTAGGTTATATAGCTCACATTAATGGTGCTTCACGAAAAATATGAAAATATAACCATTTCAGCAATATCTAATCTATTTTCTAGTCTATCGTTTGCCACTCAGGCTATCGATCACCAACTCCAAAACAAATGTAAAGTTAATAACCAGTCTAGTAATTTGTTATTTATCTCAATAAAGAAGAAAAAACATTATTTTATAAAATTGAATCTCTCAAGAAGAAGTGAAAAAAAGATCATCATCATCAGGTGAAAATCAGTAGCACTTTTGTCAGTAAATCATACACAACAATTTTAATTTAAATATAAAAAAATTTACTTTATATAGCGATATGTTAAAGATGCTTTCATTCAATAAAAGGAAAGGATTTAATGGAAATTATGTACATGTAATAAATAGAAAATTTAGTTCTAAATGCGCGGGGAAAAAATTTGACTACCAAAAAAAAAATTTAAATGTCCAACCATTTTAAATAGGAATTAAAAAATTCATGCCAATCTTGTAGAAATTCTACACCGATCATTATTTTTTATTGCAATCTGCCATTTCTTGCATTCTTACTGCGTGCGTGTATAATATAAACATCGATCTTTTTAGCTAGTGTCATTAATCTATAAAAAAAATTTAAGTCACGAAAAAAAGTTTATTGCAAATTTCACAAAAAGTAAAAAAAAAGGTTGAAAAAACAAGGCAAATGAATCACAAAATGCAGACGTGAGAAATTGCATCAAAATTGAATGAGTAAAGAATTTATTGATTGCCGAAAAAACAAAACATTTTGTGCATTGACCTTTTAGTTTGTTGTCCTGAATTTAAGTGATTATTTTACAGCTACTCATTCAACTTTCTTTCATAATTCTCGATTTTCTTTTAAAATTGAGTTTTTTTAAGGTAACGAAATCTATGTGGAATTTATGTTTGGGTCTTGAGTTAGTCAGAAACTATGTTGTGGAATTTTTTTTAGTCTATTGTGGGTAGTTCTCTTAATTTTCTTGTCTTATCAACTGTGATTTTATTTTTTTTTTCTTTTATATATTTGAAGGCATTTAATGTCAGACTTCAGAGTGTATTTTCTCTATAATAATTCATTTTTATTCTCTTTTGTTTTTATTTAAAAAAAATGTAGCTAGTTTAATTTTTTATGTAAGAATTGTTCGTAAGTGATGTCTAGCAATGTATCGGAGATTTTTTAAAATGCTGAGGTTGGTTTCTAGTGGAACGATCTAGTTTAAACTAAATATGTTTTTAAAGTCATGTTCTCAGATGTACCATAGACTGTACCTAGAGTATGTCTCTGGTATAGCTATAGTTGACGACCCCTATCATATCCCTCTTTCATAATTGTATACTCAGAACCCTCGACTGTCTCTAGTAGCATAGATCGAAAGTTTTCTGTAGTATTAAAAGTGATTTTCAGCATTAAAAGTGATCCTAAACTTCAATAGCGATCCACACCCCTCCCAAAAATGATAAACCTCATTTACGAACAACCCCATACTGAGTGAGTTTTTCCTATTCTTTCATTATTTTCTTTTGCTAATTGAATCAAAATTAGAAGTGATCTAAATTATCCTGATTTTTATAATTTTTTTTTACCATTTAACATTTTTTTTTCATTTTGAAGCACGATTTTAATTCTTTTATCTATGTTTCCTTTAGTAACCAAAATAATTTTTCATTTAATTTGATTTAAGTGCTTATGTTTTGTAAATCAGGTAACCTTCAATTTTTTTCACTAATTTTGTGTGTGTGTGTGTTCCTTAACAAAACTTTGCTGATTTCAATTTTTTGTTTCACTTTGAAAGATGACACTTTTTACTTCTCTAATGTTTTTTAATATTTATAATTTTTTTTCTCAGGCACACGAATATATCTAAAATATTTTTTTTTTTCTTCATTTTCATTTTTAAATGGCTTCTTACAAACACTTTAAATGCTCTCACTAATGTGTCATCATAATTTATCATCATATACTCCATGTATGTTAATTTATCAACTATACTTATTAGTGCTGATTGGGATGGCTATAGCTTACTAATTAATTCATCATCATCATCATCTTCAATTTATATTACTGTTTTTTTTGTATGTATATTTTAATTTAATTAATTAATTGTAGTAAAAACTTGTAAGTCAGTGCAAAACATTTGTTACATTTCCTTCACTTGAAACTTCATTCGACTATACATATCCTTTACATCGAATAATTTCTTTTGTTGCTACCTTATTGTAGCTGAATTCAGTACGAACGGCACGTAGAACATTTTTGATTCTAGCAATAGATTTGCGGCTGTTTGAATCTGCAATTGAAATTTAATCATGTTTCATTAATGTTATGTTGCACATTTAATTAAAGTTTGATGCTTACCTCTGGAATGTGCGCCAATAACTCGCTAAGTCTTCCGGGATTGTGTGGATTTGTGTGTTGTAAGTAACTCCTTAACACTTGGACATAACGCTCTTGTATATTCTCCAATTCAACTTCTGTAAGATTAGAATGATAATATGACCAAATGTTAATGGATTGAAACTTTTCAATTAGATAAAAACTTCTAATCGACATAAAAATTCAGCAAGAGATTCTGGAGAAATTTTCAGAGCTTTAAATGGTACAGCAACCTTGTCATGTCAGCAACATTCATAATATCATAACAAAGAATCAATTTCAACCCACATTTAATCCTTCTCCAGCATCCTTACACAATAATAACCTTTACAAAAAGCACTCACCTCTGTTCAGCAGTATGTAAACTTTTAAGCATACATATTCTTCCATCCTGAGCTTAATACGACGAAACATGATCGTTATTTGTGTCATTTTTTCGACCATTAAACCGACATCGAGCTTTAATTGCTCCATGGAAATCGAGTGACCCATTAAGGTTGTCAGACACGTTTGGAGGGTTTGCAAATGCGCATTTACCTACAAAATTATTAAATTAAATAATGACTATTGTTGATAGCTTGATAATAAATTCCTTACCTCTTGAGTAAACTCAGGATCATGCTTATCAGGTGCAATACTAGTTGGTGGCGGTTGTTGTGGGTTTGTGAATTTTCGTCCATGCATTGCTTGATACGTAGCCGTTGTGAGAACTAAAATCTCATGCCACTTATCAGTGAGGAGTTTCGTGTGAATTTCAACAGGAATTTCCAAATAAAATGGCAATTTCTTCGTCCATGAGACAAGCTTGTGAACAATAGAGTCACCGATGTTGCATAATTTGTCACTAATTTCCGTTTTGTCTTCCAAAAATTCACTGAAATGTGGAAGAGTTGCAATATCTTCCATTGCATCACAGTCTATTAGTGTTTGTATCATACTAAGTGAATTCTCAAAGCTTATTGATCGATCGCGTGACGAACTCACGGCATTCTCAAGTCGATGTCTCAAATGATTAATTTCGCTTGGATTCGTGAGTGCCGCTTTGAGAATGTTGCCATTTAATATTCCCGGCGATAAAGTCACATTACTCTCTTGTTTCATTTGCTGTGATTGCGCAACAACTGAGTGTTGAGTGGTTGTTGATGGTGATGTTGTTTTTGCATCCGCATTATTATTTCCTGAATTTCCTTTAGTATTACTTCCCTGTGTGCCCTTTTGAGTGGTATTTTTCTTATGTTTCTTATATTTAACTTTGTACAAATTATAAACAGCTCCACTATTCCTACCGCCTGGCATTCTATCTTCACGTACCGCTTGAAGCACCATACCTTGCTCTATACACTTCTTAAAGCGACAATATTGGCAGCGATTACGCTGTGCTTTGGTTATTTCACATGTGCCGTCTGCGACACACGTATATACTCGTCGATTTTGTACAGTTCGCTTGAAAAAGCCTTTACATCCCTCACATGTTATTATGCCATAATGAAGACCTGTAGCTTTATCTTCACATATCATACAGACTAATGGTTGATCATCTTCCTCATTTGTCATATCTTCCAATCCGTGCTCCTATATAGTCATAAAGCAAATATAATAATAAACAATATTAATTGAGTACAATGGTATTAGATCATAGAACTGTCATTCACATTGTGCAGTTATCATTTCTCTTCCTTCATGATAAGAAATAAAAAAAAAGTGGCTAATGTACCTTATTGACTTGATGTTGACCCATCCATGTTTGTTGCTGTGCACTTAGATTGAGAGCATGCATTTGTTGTCCCGAAGGCAGTTGACTATAGTCGCCAGCCCATAATCGCTCCATGTTTAATGCATGTGGAGGTCGGTTAATGGCTCTTGCACGATTCTATATTTAAAAAAATGATAAAAATAACAATAAGACTATTAAAACAAATTTAGGACAAAATAAATGATAAAGTACCTCGAGAATAGGTCGAACGCCTTGTCCTAGACTTAATAGTAGATGTGCTGCTTCCTCGTTATTGCTCGAATGATTAGAGCTACTCGAATGATTTGAGCTTTGTGAAGTTCCTGGAGGGCTCTGAATCGGTGAATTTGTTTGTACTTGTTGTGTTTGTTGTTGCTGTTGCTGAGATGGTGACATGACGGGCTCAAAACCCCACACCATTGTCCGCACACCGCATGATTCTCCCATTATTACAGTCGGTGTAGCACGAGCCGATGGATTTTGCTTTGGTGACATTTGCTGTGACGATTGTGGTGAAACTTGTTGACGTAATGGCGGAAGTGGACCGCCAATTACTTCCGGTTTAACTCCATTAATTCGTGCTTGTGGACCCCATATCATTCGTTGAGGTGCATTTGCAGGCATAAATGCTTGTGGGATTTGCATTTGCGGTTCATTCTTTATTCTAAATAGCATAGCTGAATCTCTCATACCTTGTGCCGCTCTCATTTGTAATGGCGAGCCATGAAAGACAGCTGCAGCAGATGTCGTAATTGGTATTTGATGTGGTGACATTTGTTGAGGATTCTGCCTCATTTGGTGACTTGAAGGAATTATTGTTAATTGATTTGGTGATCGTTCACGCTTTATCCTTTGCTGAAGGAGTTGTGTTTGAGCAGCATCAGATGCTGTATAAATATTTGGTGATATATGACCAGCTTGATTACGTTTAAAGCCCATAGACATATTGGCAGTCGTTACGGCAGTAGAAAATGGAATTTGAACCTGATTAATTTGATGATGATGTTGTAATTGCGATAAACCTGATAGCGGTGCATTTATTGGCAGTGAACTGTTATCAATTGACATATTTGAAGCCGGTGGTAATTTTCTAGTCATTGCATTCATCAAGTGTTGTGATTCACTCTTTATTCGTGGCGGTGTCACTAACACAGTCACATGTTGTTGTTGCTGTTGTTGTTGATGATGATGATGTTGTTGTTGTTGCTGATGATGATGATGATGATGTTGGTGGTGTGTCGGTGAATCAAGTGATGTTTGGTTGTTTCCTTGATTATTAATTGAATTACCATTATTAATGTTATCGTGATTATGATTATTGTTAGAATTATTATGATTATTACTATTATTATTATTATTATGATGAGATGGTTGTGTCAATGTCTGCTGCAACAATGTATTCACTGGAGAGCGACGTATAGGAGAAGATGGCGCTGGTGAATGAGATCTTGGACGATTTTCAATTATCACACTTATTCCAGTACTCGTCGTACTGCCATTTGTATTTGTTACTTTAGCATCAGCCTGATTATTTTGATCATTCAATTGCTGATCATTTGTTGTTGTCGATGGATTCTCTACCGAATTATCATTTGGTATACTATGAACTTTCAACGGATGATGCACATGATGATGAAGGTGATGATGATGATGTAGGTGTGGATGATCTAAATCCGTTGTTATTTGACCCGGTGGTGTTAAAGACGTTGGGGGTGGTGTATTTGTTGCTTGATTTTGAGAATTAAGGTTTGTTTGATTCCCTGTTACATTGCATTTTGGTGACATGGGTGGTAAATCTGGCGATGAAGTACTTGTATCAGCTAGTGATTCACCATCACTGCTACAGCGAGAATCTACTTTACGACGTTTTAATTTTAAATCCTGAAAAAGGCTCATTTTATCGAGCTCGTTGTACGGTCCACGACTCAGTGTCATAATTCCTGTAAAATACATACAAAAGAAATGTTTACGATAAGTAACAATAGAAACGGATTTGTGTGAAAGTCATATATTGGAAATTTCTTTATAACATGTAAATATTTTCGTCACTTTTCAACATTGCTGCGCCATTTTATCAAAAATTGTTATTTATATTTTGCATTCACATAAGTATTGGAATTCCTCTCGTTTTCGTACCTTTTTATGCAACTTAAAAACTCTCAATTTTTTTCGTGAATGCTGTTGCAAAATAAAATTCCAAAACTTTAAAAATGCATTCAAGATTGTGTTAAACTTCAAGTTTATTACACGATTCATCAGTTTTTTGCGTCTTTTCTTATATAAAAAGCACATTTGTGCTTATTTATTTGAAAATAATTTGCAATGCATTAAAAAGTTTTTTCTTTCTTTCTTCAACATAACTAGGTTAAAGAAGTCTTTCCTCGGATTTGAACGTTCTTGGATGAATCGTTGACTTTTCCGCTCGTAAGGATGAGTTGAAGGTCTTGCGAGAAAATGTTCAAGGAAGGTGGAATTAAGGATATTTTTGATTTTAAGCATTAATTTTAGTGAGTTTAAGGACGATTATTAGAATTTGTATCCTCAATTTTTATTAGCAATCGAATAATAAGCAGCCTTTGATAGTTCAATGTTCAATGCTTTATTACAGTCTGTCTAAAAAAATTATATTTTTTGACATGTAGAAAAACTTTTTTGTTATTTTCAATATGTTGCGCCTTCGATCGAACTAGAACTTTCTATGTTTCTTTCATGAATGAGTCGTATTGACCTAAAAATTTCTATTCCATAATATACATCACAAGGATCGAAAATGTGATCAAAATATTTATTTTTTATTTTTTTCCTCCCACTCGTAATATCTGCACGTATCGATGTTTATTTCTAGCTATTTATAATTGCTATTCAGAAGTTTCTCGTTTTGTTTTTTTTTTTTTTTTTTCTTAGAAAAATCTTATTTGAATAGAATCATGGATCACATGTAATGCTAGTCCTATTATGTTCAATATGTAGAAGAAGTTGGGGAATACAAAGTTTAATCAATAGAAATTCCTAGAATTCTACTGCTACTTTTTGAAAAAAGTTCGTTATACACGAACAATTCCTTCATCTATGAACAAATTTCAATCACAAATCAAACCAGCAAATCTTTTGAAGCCCAAGAAAAATCATTTATAATCATAATTCCTTTTTATGATAATCTCTGATGACACAAAACTACAGCAATCAGCTCAACTCGAAAGGAAAATAGAACAGTGAAATATGAAGCCTTACAGAACAATTTCAGTATCAATTTCTATAATGGAAATGCTTGAAAACCACATTGAAATATTTTAATTCAATGGATTTGTTGAAGATGGAATTTTATAAATGCTAAAAGCTCATGGAGTATGAATTCTATGAAATTTTGGATTTATGGATCACTAGGGATTAATCTAAGGTAAAGCTTATTGCTAGTATTTGAAAAAAGTTCGTTATTTTTGTACACAATACTCGAGAGATACTTTAATAATGATCTGTTAAGCTAGCAGAAACTTTGAAAGGACTATGGTTGCTCAAGGCCAGATCTTAAAGTTTGAACCCTCTTGTATGAGTTTTGAGACTATTCTTGAAATATAGACAGCGTCCCACAATTGCTGCGTCATTGAAAGCTTTTAGAAATAAATAAAACTACCAAAAAATCAACAAGAGAACCCCAATACCGGAAGTACGAAGTAAATAACTCCATCATCTAATTAATCAACTTAATCTTTGAACTTCCATAAAAGCCTCCAATCAGCTATGCTCTTAATTTTCATCAAAAGTCTCTCATTGCATTTCATAAATATTTTATGAAGTTCATTCATTCACAAAGTTAATAATAATTTTCAATTTAATTAATTCCATCTCATACATAATATTAATTAATTACATAAAAAATATTTTAAGCAACACGTCATCGTTCATTAAGAATTTATAGCATGTACTAAATAAAATTTCCCTTTAAAGTAAAAAGAAAAAAAATTTAAATTTTCCCCAAAAAAATCACGTTTCCTCAAACGGTCACCAATACATGCACAAGCGATAAAAAAAGTCAAAAACACACAAGCATAGATGATAAATTACGTAAAATGCTGTGCTTTATGCATACGAATTTTTCATTGACCTACATACAGTTCGATGAACTTTTAGATTTTCTTTTCTCACTCGCTCAATGAAGCTTTGTCGTATTTCTCTATGTTTAGAAGGGAAAAGCTCTCGAGCCGAGAGCGAAGAAAAACCTTCTTTTTTTTCAATGCTTGTGGATATAAGTATTCGAGACGGAAAGAGAGAAAAAGCTAAAAATTGCATAATGTTGAGTCTATTTTTATAGAATTTAAAGTTTTTTTTTTTGGTTGAAGTGCAGATGAAAAAATTCGTGGAAAACCGAAAATGATTTTTTTTTACCGTAATTTCCTAAAGATGCCATGTTGCCTTGAGTCTTGTCTCGTTTCTCCAAAACTGAATTTTAAGTTAATATTTTCTTGTCAATTAAAAAATATATTTTTTATTGATCACTTTGAATATTTTAATCTTATTCATTTACTACACATTTTATGAATGAAACTTATATCCATAAAATTTAATAGTTTTATATATTTGCACTAAAACAATCCATTTGATGACGACTTGATTTCCTTATCACAAATTGTTCGGTGGATTTTGCTTAATTTTGTGTAAAATTTTACATTAATCGCTCGATGACGTCGTTAAAATATTGTTTTCAATGCACAAGAGCAAAATGTAAATTTACGTGATTAATAAGAGCGGTTGAGTCACTTGAAAATTAATTTTTTTCTCCATTTCATTTTCAATCTTGTTTCACTTTTTCTTTCAATGCCTCGCCGCACATACACAGGCTTGAAAATGTGTTTTTCGAACTCTATCTCTTCACACTGATCCGCAATCACGGAAATGAATGAATATCAATACGCATTGCATTCTATATCAAATAGGACAGTCATTACATCTATTCTTATTATTATATTGCCAGCCTTTATTGTTATTGTGCTGTTGTGTGAAAAATGAAACAGTAGCGAGTAGCATAAAGGTCACTAATTGATTCTTTAACGAGCTTTTTCTGATCGTGATCGTTCAATTGCATTTTTTATTTATTTATTTTTGCTTCCACAAAACACACACTGCTCTCGTGTTGCCGCTATTCTCTCAACTTCCATTCAGATTTACATTTTTTTTGTATGTTTCTCATACATTTATTTATTTCTTTTTTTATTTCAAATATCCTTCAAAATGTGTTAATGTAGTTGAAGACCTCTTTTAAATTAACACACAAAAATAAGCTTTGTATTGTAAGTCTGTACGTTTACTTCCTTATTTCAATATTTGAATGTTAAATTCATAAATCACAATCAACATAAGGAAGAATTCTTATATTCACTATTTAAAATTCCTTTCTAATTTGTTTTAATTTCAAGCACTTCCGAGGAAAGTCTTTTTTTTCATTCAGTCAATTTATAATAAATACACAAAATATATATTTTTTTAAGTCTCATGAGTATCTATTAGACACTGTTAAAATGTTCAACCGTCAATGCCGCTGATGAGCTGAGAAATGACTGAGCTCAGCGTAGAAAAATTTATGTTTTTCCTTTTTCTTGTCGTCTCTCTCTCTCTCGCTCTCTCACTCTTTCTCTCTTACATACACACTAACTTAACTTCTTTATATGTAATGAATGATTGGTCTTCACCGATCACAATGTGAACTAGCGATTCCGCGTTTTCTTCTTCCTTCTTCTTCTTTATATTCTTTTTGTTTCTTTTATTTTTATTTTCACCCACAAAAAAATATTCTTCTTGAGTTCTCACGTTTTTCACGATTATTTATTTTATTTTAATTTTTTTAAACTAATTGTTCGGTGCTTTAAGCACAACTAAGAAATATTATAAACTATATTGTAAAAAAAATTGAACAGTCGATGTGGTATTGTAAAATCCGTGTAGTCCGGACCAAAGTAGGTTACTAAATGAATTGAAAAAATATTATAGTAAAAACAGACATGTATAACGCTGTGCTGTGCTGTAGAGGAAACATGCAGCAAGAGAGAAGAAAAGAGTGTGGAAAATGAAGAAGTAGAGAAGGGTATAACCAATACATTCGTGCTCAATTTTTCTCGTGATGTGCGACGAGTAAAGGAACAACAGCAACAAAAAAAAAAGCTCTCAGATGAATGAAAAAAAAAATAATATTAAACATTACGATTTTGAAGGCATGCATAAAAGCAAAAGAGAATTGATAAATCAACAGCAACAGCAGTAATGAAAAGGAAAGCATGATATTGAGAGTGAAATGTCTGTGTAAGCTTCCTCTATAATGAAGCTTGTGGAGACACACCATAATAAGACGCTATTATACATTCATTTTCAAACTTATAGCATAATCAAGAGAAAGAGAAAGAAAAACATTGGTTAGATAATCATTTTTGGCCATGCCATTTGTTTCCTGAGTTCAATCACCTCGACAAAAGTTTTTTTTTCTTCTCTTGAGTCAATTCAATAATGTTTCACAACTAGCTCAGGCTCGAGTTTGCCTTCAATTAACATTTTATGTATTATGTTACCACAGCAGTTATATTTACAACAAGAAAGTTGTCAGCTTGTGTACATGAGTGTAAAAAAAAGTCCATTATAAAAAAATTTCTGGGTCATACGCAAAATGCCGAATGATTCTCGCTTGTACAAAAACCGATTGTTGTTGTGTTCTCAATGAGTTCTGAACTCATACATTAATAATCCATATACACACACTTTTTTTTTCGTTGCTGTTTCTAATGCACGGTTAGTTTTTTAGGGCAATTTGCATAAAATAAATGATGACAGCAAAAAAAAACTTTCATTTTGACGTCCACCCCCATATATTGTGTGTATTATTTGTCGTCATTGCCATTGTGTGAACAATGGAAAATACAGTAAAATAAGCAGTAAAATTAGAAAGTTATGTAAAAAG